TGTGGACAAGGCACTAAGAAACAAGTTTCACTAAGGGTTTAATGATGGGACTTGATACGTCAGATTGATGATTGGACTTGATGTTCTTTTGTCTGACTGCCCTTCTGCTGCCATCTGTTGTATGGCAACAAAAAGTAACAGAATATTGGCAGGAAGGTTTAACTTGTAACATCATGCCACCAACATTTGCCTCTGATGTTGTGGTCGACATCATAAAATAGAAGGCATTACTTTCTCATCAATTCTTGTTTGAATCTGCAATAGGAAAATCATTATCTTAGATCTCTAATAAAGAAAACTTCTATAAGATATTAATATAACCAAGTTGCAGGAACTTGAAGAAGGCCTGAGTCAAAATTAGCACCCACACTGTAAGCCTGAATCATAATCAAATAAGCAGTGTTTCCTCTAGGGATAAAGGAAGAAGTGGGACAGAGTGATGAGGCAGAAATCTGTTTTAGCCTTGTTGTGTCTGAGCTAGTACTAGGACAACAGAAGACATTAGAGATAAAAATCAACATCTTAGTTTATTAAGGCAAAAAAAGAAGAAAATTGTACTCATTTTTTTAGCTGAAAGCCAAAATGTTGCAACTTTTTTGTGTGTGTTTTGGAACAAAAGCCACAGTTTTTGATCTTTTAACTACTGGTAATGGCATCACAAATCCTCACAGCTCTGACAGGTTGGTAGCATAGTTGGATATAACAAAAATATGATGGATTGTGTTTGTTTTGTTGAATTACTTTTAAATTTGTTGTTGATCATCAAGTATTTACTGACAGTTCCCAGGGAAAAATGGACCATCTGCTGTGTTTATAGGAGTCCTACTGACACACCGGATTTGGAAAAGACTAAAATGACTTGAAAGACCGTGTGTCAGGTGCATGAATGATGTGTCACTGATGGGCTGTGTGCTGTCATATCTCGTCATCTGCAGCATACAGGCAATCTGGGGTAATGAGGAGGAGAGGTGTAGTGCTTTTTTGTTAAGCTTCCACCCCAAGCTACTGAACAAGCTGTAGCCAACCATGGGGAGTCTGCTGGTTCCTAATATAGTCACAATCCGAGGGGCACGAGGGTGATTTAAGGCCGCTTTCTGCATATTCATCTTGGCTTACTCCATCTCTTTCACATACGGAAATCATCCCTCCTTTCCTATACTGTTTGGTTTCTGTTATTATTTGTTTATTGTTTGGGTAAAAGAGTAAATAAAGAGTAAATAAAGTGAAACAAAGAAACAAAGGAGTGTAGGCTCATTGCAGTGAAACAAGCAAGGAAGGAGTCAGGGTTATTCCTTTTCTAAGCTGCATGTATGTTTCTCGTATGATATGTACTAGATCATTTGGGTTTAGGAACTTGCTAGCTTTTACTGGGAAGGTGGTGATGCTAAGAGATGGATGGAAAAAATGGCAAAGGGAATAGTCAATGTTGCTGCACCCAATCTTTCTGCCCCTCTCCAACAGATGATATAATTCCTGCATTAAGCACTGAGCTCCTTTGTCTTGAAAGTCTGAAGTCTTGTCTCCTTGAAGCTTTGAATCTTCATCATAGATTTTTTTAATGTCTTGACTTGTACTAGGAGTGTGGAGGAATATCATACAAGACTCGGACCTTGTCTTTATGAAAGCAAGCTGTGACCTGAGAAAACTTTTACAAGCTCTTAATGAATCTATCTTACAAAGAAAATCCTTAATCAGTAATTTATTTTTTAACACCATGTGCACTTGGCTTCATATCAAGTAGCAGAAGGCTTTTGGTTTCTTGCTTTTCCAATGTCCTAGCAAGCAGAGAACTTGGTGGGGACAATATGATGCAGGAGGGGCAAGAGCCCACAGGGACTGAGCCCAGCTCTGATATTCGGTGGCTTTGTAACCCTGGGCAAGTTGCTTTCCTTAGGAGATTACTAATCTCAAGCTTGTCCCATGTGTAATGCAAGGATTAGCAAAGGTGATGTGTGGCCAGTGCATCCAAGAGGTGAGAGCTGTGTGATCTTACCTTGTGTCTTTTGTCCTGCTTTGCTCCTCTCAGTATTATCCAGCAGGAGGGGTGTGTGCCACCAGCCTTAACTTTCATTGAGCCTTCTTTGCAATGGCTGCCACGGAGCAGGGTTTTCTTTTTACATTTTTACAGTAGGATGACCAGTGCCATCAGTCTTACATAGGCATAATGTTCTTTCTTTCATTAGCTTTGTATGTTTGAAAAACACTTCTTGAAAGCCTTTCAGAATGTGTATGTTCTTTTATGGTGAGTATGTTACACATGTAAAGATACAGATACAGATCTATATGCATAGCATTTAGTGGGGATTGTGTAGCTGTATGATGGTAGAACTGGCACAACACTTGAAAGTGCTTAAACTCCTTTCTTTGGCCTATTTGGAAATCACATGTACTGCTCCTGTGCCATGTGATGTGCCGGTGCCACATTGGCTTGCACAGAGATGGAGGCAGGTGCAGAATGATGCCCTTGTTTAATCAAAAATCTCCTAGTTAGGGGCTATCCTAAAAAATAACCCATCATAGTGTAGGGAATAGGGTTGACGGGTGACCAGCTGCAAATTTGAGCTCAGAAGTGCTACATGCAGCATAACCACATGGTGCTTGTGGAACCATCCCTGCAGCATTTATTTCTTGCACTTGACCACTGGGGAATGTGTTTGTCGTCCTTCTCACTCCTGTCACGTTAGGGCTTTGTCAGATCAGAATACATCGTTGCTGTGCTTCTCTATGTCCCTTGACTTGTCAGAGGCACAAATCTTTTTCAGACGCTCTCCCCTGTTCACTTCCATTATTATATCTGGTGCTTCTGGGTGGCAAGCAGAAATGAATAACCTTGTAAATGCTCCCTGTCTTTCAATTTGTTTTATTTTCCGTACAACATGTCAGTGCATTTTTGTTGAGTGTTTTTAATAAGATGATGCTGATGAAAATAAATTGCTTTGCAGTTCCTGCTGTGGGTGACAGAAATGCTGGGTCTGTAATTTTCCAAAACTGTGCATTTGAAACAAGTGTAGAGGCTTTTCTGTATGTCTGTAACCACAACCATCCTCATGAAATCCCTTGCAGGAAAAAAAAAAAGCTATCAGTTTGAATTTTGGGGGCAAGATGCACTGCTGTATCCAGCTTCTGCTGGGCACAGTTAGAGAAGGAGATGTGAAGGAGAATTTTAGGACTGATTCCCTGGCACATTTGGGTCTGCTGCACGGGATATTCAGCCAAATCTGTCTCTAGTGTGAGAGGAAGAATGAGTTATGTAGCAAACCTTGTTGGAGTGTCTGTTAGCCAGGATTTGGGAAGTCAGGGCTGGAACTGGAAAATGTAAATGCCACAGTGCCCACGGCTTCTGCACATCAGCTTTCTTCTGACTGTTTCAGTGTCTTGCTGGAAAAGAGTAAGGCAGATAAATGGTTATCTCCCTGTTATCAGTCTGGTGAGTACCCATCTCCTCCAGGAGTGTAGGTAACCTAGCTGTTTCAAAGGTGTTTTTTGAGTCAAGATTCTTCTTGTTGCTCGCTTAAATGAAAAATTGTCAATATTGCCATATTTTCGTAACTTGTTTTTTATTTGGTTAAAAATGCAGAAACTATAGATACAATTCCCTAAAGTTTAGAAATTCATCTTGTGGTCTGCCTTTTTATGCTTTCATCCTACTTAGATAGCTATCAAGACAATGTTAATGTCCGTCCCTTGCTGCATTCTCTGCTGCATTTCTGGAAGGGAAGCACTTTCTGTTTTTGCTGGCTAGGATACAACACGTGGCTGATGCACAGTAGCTGCAGATGAACCAAGAGCTCAGGCCCCACTTCTGCAACTTGAAGGCTAATGCTGTTATTATTAAACCACTTTACTATTTTTACTACTTTATTTTCCATACACTCCATCAACTATTCCATCCGTTGGCGAACTTTGAAAACAGGAATTATCAAGCTCCCAATTTTATAAAACTTTTCTCCTCTTTCCGTTTCAGAGATTTTCCCTGAGATTACATTGCTCAAAGTACAGAAAAGGAAGTACCCAAGATCAATGTTTTTCACTGTCCTCTCAAATTTGAAAAGTTGGATTAATACTGGTAGTAAAGCTGGCTGACTGTAAAGTGAGGGTTCAGTTGATGGTGTTGTACTACTTCCTTAAGGAAATTATTAGGCTCTGTTAGGCAGCATTTACAGAGATTTGTGCTTAGTTTTCTTCTATTTTGCTGTCTTTCATCACATCCACTTACAGCAACAAGATGGTCCATCCATGGCAGGTCCTTTCCTTCCAGAAGATTTCACTTTTCTCTCTTTGATTGCCAGGAGTGCTGTATGAGGGCTGGGCTCTCCTCCCTCACTCCTAGGTTCCCACTGTGCCGCATTTATTCGCTCAGTGTCACATTCTTCACATGTGAGCTGGGGGAACAGCTGCTCCAGCAAATCACTGCTGTTGAGCAGCAAGAGCTGAAGCCTTTGTTTAGGCTGCACACATGTGGTTCTTTTGATCTTTTCTCGTAATTTAAACTATTCACCTTTTTCTGAACTCCCTGTAGTTTGTTGACATCTGTCTGGGTCCTGAGTGTCTAATGCAGAGCAGTACATGAGGACAGTTTTGCCAAAGCTATTTTATAAAGGATCTGCCAGCTTGGTTAAAAGACATGAGCCTTCCACAGTAGCTTTAAGAGCTGCCGTGAAAGCTTATACCCGATTCTTCTCTTCTTCCCCTTCTTGTCCTTTGGAGGCATTTCTGGCTTTTAGATTCTCACTCACTAGACTGTTGAACACCGAATGCAATAAATCAGTGAAATACTGACTTGTTTCAAGTCATTGGCTTCATTGGCTTGTATGAAATTTGCAGAAGAACCCTGTTAAAAAGTTTAAGTATTTTTTCTTTTAAAATTCTGATTCTCTTCATTTGTTTCCAGAAGTGTTCTGCTTGACCAAATGTAAAAACGTTTGTACACAGCTGTGTGTGAGAGGCTGGTATGATAGTGTACTTACAAATCCTGACTTTGTTGGTGTTTTTTTTTCTAGGTACTTGGTGCTAGAACACGTGTCAGGTGGGGAGCTCTTCGACTATCTTGTAAAAAAGGGAAGATTGACACCAAAAGAAGCCAGGAAGTTCTTCCGACAAATCATCTCTGCTTTAGACTTCTGCCATAGTCATTCAATATGGTGAGCACAGTCATTTCCAACAGGAATTACCTGTTACATAAACGCACATACTACAAGCATCTTACTTCCTGACACTGTTAAATAACCAATGTTGTAAAGCTGGAAAGGCATTGTGTAAAGTGCTGGTGTATTTTTAAATTCTTGGCTGTCAGTGGGAATGCATACCAGTCACAAACAGACTTTTCATGGAGAACATTATCTTTGGAAGAGAATTCATTCATAGGGTATGGTTTAATTAGGAAAACCAAAACCACCATGGAAAAGCTTTTTAATTTCCATCATTCTTTGGGGCACTTTCTAATAACTCAGAATTACAAACACTATTTCAGAATGAGTCCCTATAGAAACTTGGGACAGATACCAATGCAGCCAAGTCATTTTATGGCTTCCTTCAGTTTTTGGAAACCTGCTGGCTTTTGGCAACTTTGCCCAAGTCCCTTCTGGGCATTTGAGTCATTGTTGCCTTTAATTTCCTTTCCAGTAGGGAAGAATTTGCTTGATGTGTCTGGAATTTGTATTTACAAACTCCATCAGATGATTTTACCATGAAGTGTGGTTTAACCTGCTCGTTTGGGTGATGTTTTAAATTGGACCAGTTTCCACTTAATCTTCAGCAAGTTTAGCTAATGTAAATTTTACTGAAATCAGTTGTTATGGTGAGTCTGAGCACATGGTTTCTGTGCAGCTGCTGACCTGCTTATTTCTCGGAAATGCAGCTCCTTGCAGTAAGATTGGCTGGGGGAGACATTTACATTGTGTCTGTGCGGTTACTTCTTTGAAGCCACAGATCTCCCCTCTGCAGGAGGCTGCCGGCTGCTGTTAGATATTGCAGTAGCTGGGTTTGCATAATCACCCTGTGGATACTTCTCAATAACAATAACAATACAGTGATTTCTGTAACCCCAGTTTTGTGCTGAGAACTCACATACCAAATATCTGCAGCATAAATGGTATCTATGTGTGCTGGGCAGTGTAAACACTGCTGGGTTGAATACATAGATGGCTCTGTTCACTGCATGGCTTCACACTTAGGAATCTGATCCAAGAAGCCTCAAATAATGTTTAAGTACAACTGAAAAGAAATTATGTATTCTTTCGAATGAATATTCCAGAGAAATATGATTCACAACTGGGACAGAAGTTTCTATGAAAGCATTCACATCAGTCCTTTGGGCTTTTGTTGGATGCCTTGTGACATGTCTGAGTAATAAACTCAGCGAGGCTCGTGGTGAGGCTGTCAACATGACAGACAAGCATTTCTGCAGGTTTAAGGATATGTGGAATTTCCAAGGCAGAGTGCATGTCTCTCTTGAGGAATCCATTTTCCTCTGTTAAACATATTGGATTGTAGGCAGTAGTCTTGTTTAGAAGTAAATCCCCTGTCTCCTTGCCAGCTCCCACTCTACTAACATCTACTGCTGAATAAGCTAGCTAGTAAATCATAAGCTCTCCTTCCCTCCCGGTCACTCTGAGACTTGTGTGGCTGGTGTTATACTAGACTCTGTGTGAGATTCTGAGCAGTTATCATAAACCCTTTTTGAGAATCAGAGCATGTATAAATACATTTCTGTGCATCTGTGTGAATATAAAAGTTAATGTGCTTTCCTAAGCAATGAAGCCTGACCTTGTCCTGTCGTGGGGCAGTGAAATGACAAATCATCTCATCAGCCAGGTTATCCAGTTATGACCACGTTGAAAAATGAAGGCTTCTGCTTTGGTTAATGACTAAATGTGTGTGCCTCTAACTCACTGGCAGCATGGATTGATAGCCTGGTGTCCCTAGACCCATATCATTGTCCGATCTTCTTCCAATACCTCCCAAAACACAGAGAAGCGTCTGTGGCTTGCTTTTACAGCAGTATGTAGCCACATTCAGCTTTCACTGTTCAAAATGTATTGATGCATCGAGATTCATGGATCAAAAAATCAGAAGGGATTCCCCCAGTGCTGCCATCAATAAATTGCTTCTGCTGCTATGGTATGGAGAAATCACCTGTGTCTGAGAAGGTATCTTCAAACGAGCAGCTCAGACAAGGAAGCAAAATAGGCTTGGAGCTTGAACGTGCTTTCATGGCTTCGTGTTGTTTTTATAAAAGTAGGAACTTTCCATTATTACGTAGGTTGCTCTGAAAGTAATGCCTCTTATTTATTTCCATGGAACCTACGACAGTTACAAATAGCACAATAACACTACTTGATAGAGCAGACTTTCAGCTACAAAATGCTATTTTTCACCAAAATCACCATCATTAGCTATGTATTTTTGTCAGTAATAAGCAAGAGCCAGATACTAGCTCATAAAAATCTGCACCAGCAGAAGTGACCCACTGTTTCACAGCTGTTATTATGGCACCATTGCTAGGAAAATGTTGCCCATGCAGTCCGGCTTTCACTGTGCTCACATCCACTGGTTGGTCTCCATAAATATTTAAGTGTCAATGAACGTCACTGGGTGCCATTTTTTTTCTGCATAGTGGAATGCAGTGATTCATCTTTTCCTCATCTGCACTTCCACATCAGATGCCATTCTGTCACACCGCCCCTTTGCTGCCATCTGTTGCATGGCAACAACATGTAATGAAATTTTGGTGGAAGGTTCAACCTCTACTGCCATACCACCAACATCCACCCTTGATGTCGTGGGCCGACATAATAACATAGAGGCATTGCTTTCAGTGCAGTCCTCGTATTTTATTTAGTGGAAACTAAGAGCAAAGATTTGAGGTATCTCACCCTGAGGCGCAGTCACAGAGTTTGATGGTGTGCTTACCTGTGGGGAAGAAGCTCTCAGATAATGTACTTCTCAGTTCTGTAAGGGCTTCCCTTGCTGTGCTAGGGACCCTTTTATGAAAAGCAGGTGCTGTGCAGAGGTGTTGTATGTGATCCTGCAAACAGCGTATCTGTGTTACTCTGGTGCTTTGCCTGAGCTAGCAAGCAGAATGGTGAGCTCAGTGATGCAGCAGCATTGCTCCTGCTTCCAGCTCTGTGCTAGTTCTGAGGGCTCTGTGTTGTGCTGCAGCACACAGATGTGCTCAGAAGTGATGCAAGAAATGGAAGAGTAACCTGGAGTCCCTTGGACATAAGACCTTGTTAGCTAGGACAGAGGTTTGGATGTAACTAACGATTTTTTCCTAAGCTACCAAAGAATGGGTGTCTTCTCTCTTACGTCAGTACCTTTAAGATGTCTGGGCTGGATGCTGCGAATCAGTAATCCTTTTGCGTATCTTGCATCCATAGTGTGGGAGAGCTCTCAGCTAATTCAGCACCACCTATAATTACTGTAAAACAGTGTAGGAGCAAATACTGGGGTAGGTCGCAAATCCTTGCTTTCCTCAGGAAGAGGCTCTTATTTGCAGCAAGGGAATGCTGCAGCACGGGAGGAGGTGGGAGCCGGGCAGAGCGAGCTGGCGGGTGCCGCATTGGCTGGGGGTGACATCACCACCGAAAGCTGGGATTGGCCACGTCCTTATTTTGTGTGTTGGGTTTGTGCTTTGGTCAAGCTCATATTTGGTGTCTGTATCTCACAAGCTGACAAATAAAAATATGATTACAGAAAATGCCCCGTGGCAAACCTTATTACGGCTTCAGAGATAACAGATAATGCCAATTACTGCACAGGGCAGTGGTGACATTGAGAGGAAATTCCCTGCGGTAATGAGCAGCGAGATGATTATTTCATTTTATTTTTATTTTGGTAGGGTTTCATTTTGTGTTATGTTTTTTTTTGTGTGTTTTTTTTTTTTTTTCATAGCATGCACAGGAGGGGTTAAGGCAGTTTCTTTATGAATATTGATAAATGACAATTATGAGGTCCCTTTCTCCTTTTATTGCCTGGGGCTGTGCCTGCTTGAGTACGCACGAGGATCTTGCTGAAGTGTGTCTGTGTGTGTGTGCATAGGCATGGGGGTGTGTGACTTAGAGGGTTAAGGCAATGAATAAAGAGCTTTGTTTGGCCTCGCCTTGTGTTCTTGCAATCGGTGCAGGGGGGAAATGGCTCCTTATAAAACAGAGCTTTGAGATTTCACAGCAGTGGTGCTAAAATCTCTCATATATTACTGCAGGCAGAAGCTGCAGAGCACTGTCAGTAGAGGAAACACGCTTTTACAAAGAAATCTGGGGTGCCTTCAAGAAGCAGAGAAAGCCAAAGAATGCCAGGTGCCATGAGTAACCTGTCCTGTTAGGTAGTACCACGTTCCTAGTGACTCCTGCTTTGACTTGCTTCTTTTATAAGGAGGATGCAGAGACGTGTGTCCACAGCTGGACACTTTGAAAATATGACCCAAAGCCTCCAAATGTGAAAGTGGGCTTGAAACCGTGGAATTTCATAATGTTGATTTCTGGTATTTCTTCTGGGGGTCTTTGAGTCTTTAGATTTTGAAGTTTTCTTTTAGACCTTCAAATTAGAAATGTACCTTCTTCTCTTGATGAGAGCTGAGATTTGCCAATCTTTGCCTGAATCCAGGAGCTGCATATCTAGGACTGAGACTCAGTTTAAACAGTGAGGAATTTAAACATTTTCCTTGCACAAAAAACTGGAGAAATAACATTAAGCACAGCAGCTGCAATGTCAAAAACAGTTACCAGCTCTGCTAAAGTCAGAGGATATGTATTTTCCTAAGTTTATTTATTTACATAAGCCACTGGAAACTCGAAAATGGCATAGTCTCAGTGTAAGCATAACCAGGTAGCATTCTTTGCAAGTGCATTCATGGTGATCAGACTTGACAGTCTGTGCTGTCTCTGGAATACAGGAACATATGTTTTGAGGCAAGGTTTTTAGGGAGGGGCAGTATATATTAATGCATCACTAGAAATAATCATACTAAAACCAGACAAGGTTTCAGGCATTCAAGCACTTCTTCAGGATTGCTGATATGTTTAGAGATCATGTCCTTTTTCCTAGCTGTATTTGCTTGTTCTGCAGGATTCTGTGAAATATTACTAAATTTGAGTGTAGCAACCATGACTCTTAAACAGAGATCCTCTGTAGGTAGATGCCAGTTATGCATTTGGATCTTATTTGCAGAAGCAAGAGAAAATAAGACAAAGGGCTTTTTCTGATTATGAAAATTAAAAATCTTGCTTCTCATACTAGTAACACTGATAAATTATTTGCATCACATCAGGCTTCTGCTAAGCACTTTTAAGAGGCATACTGCAGAACAATGATTCTGTGGTCGGGCCCTTCTGGGATTTTGGGGTCAGTAAGAAAAGCATTTGCAAAGTAGCCAACAATTTGATTAGTACAAATGACCTGCAACTACACCAATTAAGAGGTTTCTTGGATTAGAAATCTATGACCTGCAATGAGTTGTCATAGAAACTGATAGGAATATTTCAGCACAAAAAAATCACTTTAAAATAATGGGTTGGTTCATCATCTTGTGCCAAGTGACATAGTTTCCTTGAATCCAAGATCTTAAATCTGTCTCTACACCCAAAATCTTCTGCCAACCCTGGGTGACAGGGAGAGGCTGGCTGCTTTAGTTCCATTTTTAACCATGCAATTGTCTGCAGTACAACTCTAGGGACGTTCCCAGAGCAGGAGAACAGGCTAAGAGAGGCAATGGAGGGAGCTGAAGGAGCTGGCTGGATAGCATCACTGGGAGTGACCAGATAGAAACTTGGCCAGTGTGTGTGTGTGAAGCTGGAACACACTAATGAATGTGCAGGCCTTTCATTTTCTCTGCACCATCTCGGAGGATTGTGCCTATTTCCTTGGGACCCTTTTTTCAGACCTCCATCTCTTTCTCTCTCCCCATCCTCATCTTGTGCTGTGATGGAATTGTAAAGCCTGTGTTATGCTCAGTAAAAGAGAGATGTTGCAGAGAGCCTGACAGTGTCATAGCTTATTTAATGGCTCCCTTTCATTCCCACAATGTCCCTTCAAATGCCTGCTGCATGCATGCAAGCTCGTGGAGCTGACTTCTTACTCCATTGTCTGGGGTGAGGAGCTGTGGGCAGTCTGTGACCACCCTGGCTCAGGATTTCAGTGACTTCTGCAGGGCTGCATTTCCCTTTCAGATTCTTTTTCAGCATACATAGGGCTCAAGTGGAATGTTGGCCATGTTGTCACAAAATAAGTTGCTCTCTTCTATTCTGATTTACCAGCTGTGTGCTAAGCCCCTACAGCTTTAGAGTCTTTAGAACAACCAAAAGTCCTCTATTTCACCTGCAGAGAGAGGAGTTGATGTGGTCATATAAGACATAGAGAGCCAGAGAGACCAGCTGGAGTGGGACCAAGTTAAAATGCATTTACTCTGCAATGTTCCATTAATGCCAAGTAATTACCACATACAGTGGGATTTTTGTTTTGTTTAGTTTCATTTTGGCACAAGAGAATTCTTTCCAAACATGAATGCATAAGGCCATCCAGGCAGATAGGCTCCTAGGTAAATTATAACAAACCTTCCCTATTCCCATATGTTCCTCTCCCTTCCTTCTGGCACTTGGAAACTGGCAGTATAAAGATGGGAAATGCAAATGCAGGGAGGAAAGTTTGTTCGCAGTGGCAGTGATGCTGCTTCTGCCGCTCCGGTGCTGGCTCTTGGCCTCACTGCTATCCCCAGGATGGTCCCCAGATTCTAAGATTCTAAGTGCTCCAAAGATAGAAAGCAGGGATGTGTTCCAGCTAGAAGCTGGGGCATAAAATTCTCTTTGGTTGAGCTTGCAAGCATTGCCTGATCCCATGGGCACCCTGATTACTGAGAGAAGTGCTGCTGCAATGCAAAAAAAGAAATACTCATGCTGCCATGACGTTCCTGAGCTCACCATCCATACCTGGCACTAGGGTCTGTGTTACAAGAGAAATGGGAAGGGTCAGGGAGTGACATAATTGCCCAGTGGCATTCTTGTTTGGGGCCCAGTCAACAATAAATGTATCAATTCTTGACAGAGTCCACATTCTGTTCTGCTGATTGGGCTGTAGTGAAGAGAACAAAATTATTCTGGATTTATTTTGGTGTTTAGAGCAAAAAAAAACACAAAAAACCATGAAGGTCTACTGCCACCTCAAATTTCATATATGCTACCCCACTATCCTTAGTCCCACATATACTGAAGGAGGGCAACGTAAGGCTTTCAAAATGCTCTCTGTGAGGTGAGTCAGGACCTCTACCTAAAGACTACCATCAGGTCAGGTTGGTTGATCATTCAGGTAAAAGCATTGTACAGCACAAGGTGAAGCTCACTGGACGTCTTACATGTGGATGATGGCACCCTCCATCCCCTGTCTTACTGTGGCTTTACCAAAAAAAAAACCAAACCAAAACAAAACAAAAAAAAAACCCAAGAATTTTATTTTTGCCACTTTACGGGAACTTTATTTTTTCTAGTTGGTTCTCCCTTAAACTCAAGTCTGAAAGTGCCTGTGTTGTGGATACCAGCTGATGAGAAGACAGGATGAAATGGTGAAGAGACTTGTTTCCCCTGGTGAATAATATATTCTTTATCAAAGGTGTCATCCCTTTGCTTTCACTGCCTCTGAGTAATCTGGGAGTGAGGCTGGCTCAGAACTCACATGCTTTATGCTCCGGCCAGAGCTTGAGGCGAGTCTGCTGAGACTGCTGGCTCTGAGGCATAGAAGGGTAATGTTTGAACATCTTTTGCTGTGGCTGTTCTCCTGAATGAATGTGAGATGTTTTGTAATGAACATACATCCAGTTTGGAGAAATGCTGTGTTCAGATCATGTTGTACCTTAATCGCTGGATTTCCTAGCTCATGTCAAAAGCAGGATCCTTAGTGGCCATTTTAAATGTCCTTAATGACAATCATAAGGCTCAGTGATAAGGTAAATAGCCAGTATCTGTTTTGAATGTGTGCTGTTTTGCTGGAAGTCTCCTCTAGAAATATCTATTACACTCCCGAAGTATCCTATTACAGCATATTCTGGTTATGTATTGAGTTAGCCTGCATTATTTACAAGTTGTGTCTAATTGATCATTCCAGACTTCTGTAAAGATCAGAGATCATTTCCAAGACGTTGTCAAGCTCTATATGTTTCTCTGGGGGGGCAGAGACCAACCTCCTTTACAGGTGGATAGGGGTATAATTACAATTGCATCCATGAGCAGCGCTAGAGGGGCATTGTAAGAATGAAGATGGCATGAAGCTAAGGCTGAGCTCTGTTATGGCTGTTGCTGGATTAGATTATGTTAATGCTGGGTCTTCAATTTTTTGGGCAGGTAACTTTTTCTTGAACCGTTGTAGCAAATGGCTGTTATTTGCCTGACATTCATGCATGTTGTCAATTGGCCATTTCCAGCAGGTTTGTGTTCTAACAGGGCACCTGAACTGACTGTTCTGCCTTGAAGATTTTTTTCTCAGGGTTGCAGCTTGTATCAGCAGGACATCAAAGATACACACTTTGCTTTCTTATAAGTAAAGACAAATGAAGAGAGCTTCTTCAGCCTGCCTAGAATCCTTCTCTCATCTCTGTGGCTCTTCAAGGGCTGCAAATAAAAAGGCAAAAAGTCATCTCAATTTTAGTACAGGGTTTTTGGTTTGGGGTATAAAATCAAGTAGATCTAACAGTTGTACAGAAGTACTTGAGTACTGAGAAACAGGTGGATGTGCATAGTGTTGCTGTCTGCAGGTAATGAAAATGAGTAAATTAGTCAGTATACATTTTCTTTGATTTAAAACAGGAGTTACTGTCCTGAACGTCATGACTGCCTGCTCATTCCCACATTGCCAAATAATAAAAGAACTGAGCTTTGCTGGAAGGAAGGGAGTGGAATCCTTCTCTTCTTTCCTGTTGCTAATGCTCTCAGTTAAAAGCAGTGCTGGGTTCAAGGCTTTCTCCATTGGAGCTAGCTGCCCAAAATGTTTTCAAATGCTTATGTAAATGACCCTTAATAGGAGCTTTTTGCTGTAGTGTTTGCACCAAATACATTTGTTTGTTTGCTTGTTTTCCCCCAAGACTTCACTAATACTATTTACTGTTAAAGAAATACACTGATGGCATCCACTCTCGCCTTAAGAAGCTGGCATTTGATGGAGTATGTCAGCCTTAAATCTAAACCGAAAATTTCCTCCTGCCAATTTCCCTCAGTCTCCCCCTCAGATTGTGTTGATATTGTTCATTTTCTATACGGACAGTGAAGGCTCAAACATCAGGAGTGGGCACCCCATCATTTGAGGGTGGGCTAGAGTGCTGCAGAGGCCAGATTTTAGGTGTGTGTGGTCTCCTAATCTGGAAGAGAGAAAGAATGACATCAATTAAAATGTAGTAGGTTGGATGCTATGCTGGATTAAAAAAAATACAGGCCTTGGAATGGCAAAGCTGTTGTGGATAATTTAACTTGCATTTTGATCTTTTCTTTACAGCCACAGGGACTTAAAACCAGAAAACCTACTGCTGGATGAAAAGAACAATATCCGGATAGCAGACTTTGGAATGGCATCGCTGCAGGTTGGGGACAGCTTGTTAGAAACCAGTTGTGGGTGAGTGTCTCAGCATATTGCAAGTAGACAGTGACGGATTTCAGACGTAGAAAATGTCAGTAGCAGGGGGTTTGAGCAGACTTGTGCATCGTTATTTCCTAGCAAGTTAGTAAATTTTTAAAATGTATACAGTGCATAAAATAGCTAAAATAAGGTTTTTTTAAAGTGCTTTGCAATGAAAAGCAGGCCTCTGTAGGTGTCACATATGGATAGAAATACCAAGGCTTTCAAGTTTGGACTCATCTGCCTAGGCTTGTGTTTGCTTTCACTGGACATGTGATATTTGGAAAATGAAAGCAGTGGTGTAACCTGTTTTATGAATAGGCTTTAAAATATTAGGAGTTGAGAAAATAAGGGAATCTATGGCGTCTGAAATGGAATTTGTGTGTTCTGTTCAGGCTGCCTGCTTGCAGCTCTTTCTGTTTATGCTTCACTCTGCTTCATTTCGACTCACATCCGGAATTGATAGGGAGGCAGCAGAGGGTCCTTTGCAATTACAGGCAGGGCATGAACACAGATACAAAAGAGACTGCTTGGAGGAATATCACAGGGACAATAAAAACATTTCCATGTTAATTCAGTTGCCAGCAGGAGCTTTCCAGGAATTTGCAAAGGAGCCAGCAATAAGCCCAACAGCTGAGTGAAGACCTGGTGCCTGACTAGGGCAGGAGGAGCATTTCAGGAGCAATACCCTCTGATCACTATTATCTCTAGGGATACCACAGGCACCGTGGTCCCCCAAAGCCATGACACTGTGCTGTGCTGACTGCAGTGTGCTGCTGCAGTGAGCTGTGGCAAGGGCATCGGCTGCATCGAGCTGCTGCAGCCTGGCACCACTATGCCAGCTTTTAGCTGTGTATCAATTTGTTACAACAGCAAGCTCAGCAGCTGGAGTTGCAGAAAGTACCAGCAGTTCTGTGTCTCCTTCCATACACACCTACTCTTCCTGGCCTTTGGCAGTGAAAATCTTTCAACTGCAGCTCATCTCAGTCCTCAGGCTGCTACAGTCCGTGTCTTTTCATTCTGTGCCCTGAGGCAAGACAATTCAGAGTGGACATGGAGCCATACCAGCTCCCTTTATACCACATCTACTGCCTCTCAGTCCTGAGCTGCACAGCTTTGCGTTCCAAGTTTTTAATAATAAATTGCAAAATTGTTTGAAGCTGATGATGTGATTGAATGGTGGTTGATGACTACACTGAGATGCACTGAGATGTCTGTGTGAAGATTTGACCTCTTACCAGCGCAGATGAGAAACAAGGAGCTGTGAGTCTGCACATCTGCTGCTTGCAGCTGCTTTCAAACCTCCCCTCTAGACTAAGAAACAAAGTCTTCACTGCAGTTATCACAAAGGATCTCTGCTCTCTGCAGAAAATTTTCTCCCTCCATTCTGTGTAAAACAGAACAACAAAAGTATAAAAACCAATTCAATCTCACATCACCCTGAAGGATTTTTCAAACTCCTTGGGAACCTCTCGGTAGGCTCCCTGTTCATGTTAGAAGCAGTCTGTGTCATCCAGGTCTAGAGTCTCAAAGGGAGATTTCCTGTGCATAAGCAGTGCTGGAATTCAGGCCTCCATGTTTCAAGCAGAGCCAACCCTACTATTGCAGCCTTAAAATGTGCTAATAAAGAAATCAATGGAACGAAAGAGACATGCCTGTAATAAACAGAACACAGCAGCAATGCTATGATCTCCTGCCTTGCAGATGTATTTTAAGTATGGTGCCAATCACTAGGCCGCCATGTGAGCTATTACACCACTTCATTAATTCTCCTGGCATGGAGCCCAGCATGGCTGGTACTGGTGTCTTGTGATCTATCTGGTTTGGGCAGTAAAAAGAGAAAGGAGGGAAGGAAGGAAGGAAGGTAGGAAGGAATATATGACAGTGTGCCACAAAGTTCACAAAGAAAGGCAATCCAGTTGTGACTCTTTCCCTAGGAGCAACCTCAGAGCCCACTAACCAACCTCAGAGCTCTTCAAGGCAACAATTTTACTTCCCCCTTGTAGTTGGTACTTTCAGCCAGCATGAAAAGGAGCAAAACAGACCGAGTCACGGCTCAGATATGAAACCTTAATGAGATGTTCTTCCATGCACCCAGAAGTTAATTTTCAGAATGGCTTTCTCTGTGCTGTGAACATTGCTAACGAGATGAAACTGTAATGTTTCCATTGACAGCCACACAAGGAGTCTCCAGGTATTTCTGTCAGTCAGAGTGGGAGGATGAAATGGGGTTTAGCAGCATGATACAACGAACTTTGTCAGTACAGCAGATCTGTTAGAGTGCAGCTTCTGCTGTCACAAGTGAACTACTAAGAATAGTCCAAAATTTGACCAGAGGGCCTTGACTGGCCTCACAAAACTGTTCATGTGTTTTGTTGCACACCTCAGAGTCAGTGTCTGATGGGAGCTACCCCTTAGATCAGCATGATTTTCTGTAGTGCTGATGGCTACCTGGAGGAAATGATAAAAATTCAGCCCAGTCGTGTTTGTGTAGGGGAGGGAAGTAAGGATGAGCTGTTCCTTTGACATCATTTGTCAATGCCAGACTGCATTCAGGCCTTGGTTGTAATTAATCCCCATTGCTGAAAGCCTGTATTGCACAAATCCTGCATATGTACATATATGCAGAACAGTGTGCCATAGATTTAAGCAGGTATCTTTAGACCTTTGAGGGAAAGAGGAGCTGTGGGAATACTTCCGCTAACTGCAGAAACTGTACAATAAGGCAGTCTGTGGAGAGAGAGTCCCTGAAATGCTAAAGTAATGCAACAAATCTTTGCATCTCTCCAGGAGCAGGGGAGTTCTGTGAGCAAACAGCAGACAACGAAGGAAGCGGAGGATGTGGTAGGATGCTGCTTCTATTAGTTCAGATCTCTTTGGCTCTCCCTCCTCTTTACCCTTCCAAGCGATGACATGCAGAGACAATCCCTCATCTCTTTCAACAGTGATTCTTCCCAGCACACTGCCTTGCAGTGCTTCAGAATGTTAGATACTGAGCAATCCCTCCTACTTGTCTCTAGGCAAGAAAAATGAGTTTCTTTTGGTAAAATCTCTGAACATAAATTATCTGAGCTTGATTTCTGCCTCTGCTGTGGGCATTCATGGTAGTCTTAGACAAGTCACATTACCCCTCTGTGCTTCAGTTCTCAATCTTAACAAGTCATTGTAAAGCCCAAGTTGCTCTGAACATAATCTGAAATTATATCTATAAGAGTCTTGGAAAAGTAGAAAGTAGGAACTTTTTTCTCTTTTCTTGAATGAAAAGAGCTCTCAAATAGAAGAATTGATAGGGAATACTGTTGAGTTACAATTCTTGGGAATCTGTGATGATCCTTTCTAATTCCCCATTGCTCCTTATAGAAAGCTGACAAAGTACATTTTTGCCATCTCTGCAGTTCTCTCCATTTCACTTACTGTGAAACGACACCGTGTCCCTCAGGAAGGAGATTGCTGCAGGCCACCAGGTGATGGAGAATCCATACGGCAGTGCTGCTTTCTGTGCTGCCTCTAAACCTCTTGATCGCAAGCAACCACAAGCTGAGACCAAGCCAACGTGTAAAGTTGGCTTTCTCCAGCACCAGACACTATTCCCAAAGAGGCAATCAGTACAGGCCCGCAATTAACTGACTGTATTTGCAGCAGCTCTCCCCTATCAACTTCTCTGTTGGGAACCCCTGGAGAAATCCAGAAATCTGTGCGTTGTGGGAAGAACAATGTTGTTTATGTCCTCTAATTTTATTGAGAGGAAAGCCATTGTGCATGTTGGTGGCATAAATGAAGGAAAAAGCAACTGCCAAGCCCAGCACAGTCCATATCTCTGCTCTCAGCTTCCTCTAGCATATGCTGGGTATACTTTGCAGACCCACCAGCCCATATGCATCAGAAAAAAGAAAACAAAAACAAAAAACAAAACATTTTCATCAATTCTGTGATTCTGTGATACTCAATAGAATTAATTGCTGTCTCTTTTTGAGCTCAGGATATCTGTAACACCCAATACAGTGTGTGTTTGTTAGAAATGCTGATAGATATCATCTAGGTCCTAATTTGCTTACCTTTGTATTCGATCTATCTGTGACGAGATAATTCAGAATAGAGCAACTCAGTTGCTGTACACCTCAGTATCCAAGCACCATTTCTAATTTAATGTCAGGACATGATGCTGCACATATTCTTTCTCTTCTATACAGTTCTGTATACAAATGTGTGCATGTTATCTAAAACATATGCAAATGTCCAGGTCCAGATATTGTCAGTGTTGCAAATTTAGGCTCTTAAAATTAGAAAATGCCAGAATTCATAATTTTTATCCCATCTCTCCAGGAGTTTCCATTGCACTCTGTTCCCATCTCTTTCCCTGTTCTCCTCTGCACTCCAGTCTTGCCAACTTCTCCCACTCATTTCTGCTTCACATTTGGTCCCATGTCCCAGATTCTTTTCTCTTTTTCACTATGTTCCAACTCTGATTTCCCCTACCTGGTTTTCCCAGCTCTCAGTCTCAGATCTAACTCCTGTTATTTGCGCACTCAGAAGAGGTTCTGCATTTTAAAGTTTGGTACTTTGTGACAACCTCAGTCACAATAGCTTGTTCTATCAGTTTTAGGGAAAAAAGAAGATCTGTGAAGCATTGCCAACACAGGTTGAATTTTCATCCTGATTCTCTAGAGAATTTCCATTAGTAAATACAATCTTCCCTGATTCTAGTGGTTATGTTTGCATACATTTTTCCAGAAACTCTGAATAAATCATCACATTTTCCTTTCACATTTAAGTATGCTAGAAATTTTCACTTTTTATGGCAAAAGCATATTTAATTTAAGTAAGATTTTAATAGTGGGCACTAAGATGAAACCAGTCTGAAGCAGACAAACAGAAAAGAAAATCTCTGAGTTATTAAATTGGTAGTAAGTCATAAGCAGTTTGAAATGAGGATTATGAAGGGAAATATCAGACAGCCTTATTAATAAGTGCTAATATAAGCCTTACCTGTAATACATTTCAAGGTACATTAAAAGAGCTTTAAGTCTGCAAAATTAAGTGCTGAAAATTTAAGATATGCTACTTTTTAGATTATAAGTATAAAATTAACTTGGTCCCAAAATATTCATGTACACTGGGATAAGTTCATTAATTACGAGCTTATACAGGTTTTTTTCCACCAAAACTTTGTCTCATTTGGTATTTTTATGGTGTGAGGTTTTTTGAATAAGCATCTGTTTAATTTATTCTCATCCTTTTTTATGGATCCATTTGAAGTTTCATCTCGCCACATCCGAGCCTTGCTGTGGATGCTAGGTAGGATTTTCATCAAAGTATTTTAAGCTTACAAATATTAACTACATCAAAAACAGGGGAACCTGCAGCTTGCAATTAGCTGTGAACATCTCCTTTTAAAGCACCTTTTCATTTGCATTCACAGAAGGACTCTGTTGCAGGCACAGAGAGCTTGATTCTTCAGTATGTCAACCAGCTGCCTCATCACAACGTTGTCCTTCGTAGCACCACACTTCCCTCACTTGACCACTGGTTTCCAATTTCTGCAAAAGTAAACCAGAGGCATTGTGGACAGCAGCAGACCCACTGCCTCATGCTCACTTATCTACAGAGCACAGCATAGCCTGTTTGGGCTTTGCTTTTGAGTACTGCACTCTGTATTCTTTACACTCTTTTAATATAGGGGTCTGTTTCAGTTTTTAAATTAAGATCTCTTAAAGGATCTATGTCTTAATCATTTGAACTCGTATATTAATTAATGAACTGATTTGCAAATTCACAGAAAGTCTATTTGTGCTTGAGGAGTAAACAGCTGTAAGATGGCTGAGGGCTAGATGCTGGGTTTTCTCATATAGCGCTAAATAGAACTGAAGCTTTAATTGCAAAATAGCACTCAACCTTAACTACAGCTACTACTTCAATTACAGCCCTACCTGCAGTTACTGCCTTCAGTACAGCCTGCACTACCCGCTGCTCCTCAGACTATTTCTTCAGTCTCTCCCTGCATTACTTTGCTATGTGATCTGTGGCTGTCGCTTTCCCCACAGGATGCTCTAACATGCATCCTTCTTGTGAGGAATTCCCTTTCTCTATTTTACTCCTCCTCTCACGTTCCCCCTCATCTCAGCCCTTTGCTGCCCAGCACAGTGTTCCACGTAGGCATTCTTTTGCTCTAGTGGGTAGCTTCTGTCTCCAAAAGCCAGCTAAGAGATAGCAGTTAACTTGGGGGAAGCATCCGAGCAACACCAAAAACAGCCGACACAAGAGGGTTTCAGTGCATCTCCTATATAAAGGTATCTTTAAGCAAAGAGAGAACAAGACTTCTTCCTCCCTCTCTACAGAAATACTGCCTCCAGCTGTGAGGTGTAAAGAGAAACATTTCTTCTTCCCCAAGTAGTATCTTCCTAAGGCATGGATCCAAAGTACACAAGCATGAAGACTTGTCTTTAAAGGGACCTGTCAGAAAGTGCAATACATGATTTGTCACATTATAGAGCAGGATTGTACAGTACAGCTCTCCCCTTTCTCCCTCATCAACCTTCTCTGGAAAAGCAGTTGTTGCATAAACCATTCACAGGCAGTAGGTTTATCTGTGTACTGTGCAGATCTCTCTTACCTATGTACTGAGACAGGAGGTCAGAACTGCTTGCACAAATCAGAGGCACATCACATCTGCACTGGAGATACAGCACTGGTTGTCTCAAATGTGCTCTAGCTTTACTGTATCAATGTGTCAAGATCAAAACCTACTTGTCTAGTTTTTCAGATGAGATTCATGGAGATTCATCTTTGATGCATCTTACTGATTACATAACCCCTGTCTGGACTTGTATTGGTTTTCACCATTTCACTTTGGATTATTTTCTCTGGTCGAAGTCCCATGTAAATGCTTTGCTAAGGGCCTACAAGGTCTGTTAAGATTCCTGTGTCCAAGAGTTACAGCTGTGAATGAGCGTTCAGAGAGCCCTTCCTGCCCCAGGCAGACTAGCCTTGAAATAAACACTGCCAACACTGGGAATTTTTTGCAGCAGTACCCAGAGGCAGCAGCTGCTTCTTTATCTTGCTGAGCTGTATACTTATTTATTATCAAGGGCAAGCTGTGGCTTTTGCTGCACAGAGATGTAGCCGAAAGATGAGGAAATGGCCTAGGGGAAGAAGGAAGGAATATACTGAATATTGAATAATTATTGATAAGAGCCAAAGAAATACTCAGGACTCTATAGAAAGATAAATAGATTTTTTATTAAATTTTAGCTTTCTCTTTAAAGCAGTTGAAGGTCCTTTGTGATTGGCAGCATGGAAATGAGTTTTCTACAGATTTCTGGCTGGCCAGAGGAACCTGTTTGGAGCTGTTTGCCAAGACAGTGCTGCAGATATCCTGATAGCGTGTGCTGGCAAGAATTCAGAGTGGCTATGCCAGAAATCTGAGCTCTCTGGGCAGTTGCAGTGCAGCTGTTGAATGATTGAATCAATTCAACTTGTTGAAATTATTTATTGTAACATTTTCTCCGCCCATTCTGTTAGGTTTTAGCAGAATTTCACCAGTGTCTTGAAAGACACCTTGCAGCCTCCACTGCAGACTCCACACTCAACAGACATCAGGGGAGTAAAATGCTTTAAGTGCATTTAGATTCCTAACTGGGTATCTACCCATTCTCATCATCTTCACAATACTTACATTCTTCTTTTCAAGGATATTTGCAAGTTGGTTGTATACCTCAGCATTTGCAATTATGAATTCTGAAATCTGTCTTTGTTGGAGTTGCAAGTTTCTGGGAGGTAGGAAAGCAGCAGTGGTGTTGCTCTCGTTTTAGTCAGAGCAGCAGACTTATGATGAGGTTTTGGTCAACCAGTTGTGGCCAGCAGCAAATTTTAATAACTCATGTGTGGCTGCCAAAGACAGAGCTGCCAAAAGAGCCCAGTGGGTCTGTCCTCCCCACTGGGTTCAAGTACTTTCTCACCTCCCAGAGCATCCAAAGGTGAACTCTATCCAGCTCTCCAAGGCAAGACATTTCTTGTCTTGATAGACCTTTCAAGGTTTATAAAATCAGGTCTAGATTACTGAATTACTGAATGCATAGGGTTGGTCATAATACCTGTGATAGCCTCTTAAAAAAGAAGTGCTATTAGATAGTATGCTATCCTTCCAAGTCCCACCTTTCGCAAAGTTTGTGAGGGATCAGTTATATTCTATTTCTCCTTGCTTAAGCTTTGTATTCAAGGTAGCTGCAGTTCTAGTTGTACTCCAAGTGTATTATCACAGTCTGCCAAAAGCTGTAATAGCAAATCAGATGTGCCATGCACTCAGGATGATATTTTACCATAAGTGTAATGTGTATGGAAAGGTAATTAATGGACTGTCTCACTGGGCATTAAAGTAGAATCCCAGCACAAAGCTAACCTCACTGTGCTTCTGTTTTGCTCATTACTTTGTGAGACAGGTATTGCCCAACCATGATTGTGTTTGTCACAAGAAACAAATGCACAAATGAAGACAGGCTCAGGGACTGCTGGGAGGTGTCAGTATAAACAATAGTGAGATTTGCACACAGGTCTCAGACAGTTTGCATCCCTTTTACTTGTCAAGTTACTTTAATGAGGGCTATAAAAATAAATAGCCATGGCTATAATCTTTAGGAATTAAAATTATTACCTGGCAAGTGGAAGTAATTAACTATTCTCAGCCAAGAATCAAGGAAGAGATAGATGGGTGGAAGGATGTGAAGAGAATATATTAGCTCAAAAGGTAACAGTGCTGTTGTCCATCCTTTTTATGTGGTGTTTTGCTGTTGCTTTTTTTTTTTTTTTTTAGAAAAATAAATTGCTTGTTCAAATCATGTACTGGCAGCTTTTATGACTGCTGGAGTAATTGAGAGCACTCTTAGCAGAAGAGGTGAAGAGGTGCAAGATATGGTTTGGAGATACATGCATTGGCTCTGAAAACATTTAATTTTCTTTCCCCTAAAAGACCTTGCAGTGTGTGTCTTCCTTCCAGTTATATATATGGCCAAGTGAAAGTAAAGAGTTAGAGGGCTGGAATTTTACGTAATCACAAAATATGCCTGCTCTTTCATTCCTTTTAGGAAATTCATATTAGGGCCATTGAATTTTGAATTATGCTAGTTGTTGACCATTTCTGGGTTTGTCTGAGAAATATATTCTCATTACATTAATAAAAAGGGCTGTTTTTGCAAACTTGCTTTCTGTGTAAGTGAGCCAATCCTGATTCTGGTAAGCAAAGTGGAAATGCAGATAGTTCATAAATACATGCTCATCTCACTATTTTGTGTTACAGATCACCGCATTACGCCTGCCCTGAAGTTATCCGGGTAAGTTGATTAAAATCAATGTATGTTTTCTTCAAAGTGTCACTAATTGCATGTATGCAGACAGACCCTCTTACAGGAGGTCTGTCCAAGACAGACAGCGAAAGGAGAGAATAAACATGCTGTGACTTTGGTTGTTTGGTTCAGCCCTGAATCAAGCCACATCAGCCATCTGAGGGAAATAATCCTGTGTTGTTCTCACAGTACTTTTGTGCCATGTTATCAGACAGAAAAGCAGTAGCCTCATTTAACTTGGTCTTTCCACTCTATACACCTATGCCTTTTCTTCCCCATTGTAGCTATTTCAGCAGAAGACCTGGAGTTGGCTGTCAGTGACACTGGATTCTTTTAAATGATAGGAGCTATCCTTTCCCCCCTTCCATTCCTTTTGTCTTCGTAAAATAAGTATTGAATATTACAGTGGCCAAGTTTCCCCCCTTTTTTTTAGATGTTCCTTTTTATTATTTTATATTTTTCTGATTGTTTGGGTTGGAAGGGATCTTAAAGATCATCAATTTCCAACTCCCTTGCCATGGACAGTGACATTCCCACTAGCCCAGGTTGCTGAAACTCCATCCAACCTGACTTTGAACACGTCTAGGGAGGGGGCATCCACATTTTCTCTGAGTAATCTGTTCCACTGCCTCACCACCCTTAAAATAAAAAAAATTCTTCCTTATATCTAAGATAAATCTACCATTATCCCTTGTTCTATAAAACTCCCTGGAAAAGTTGCTCTTCAACTTTCCTGTAAACTCCCTTTTGGTAGTGAAAGGCTGCAGTGAGGCCTCACCTCCAGGTTGAAGAACTCTCTCAGCCTGTCTTTGTAGAGAGGTGCTCCAGCCCTCTGTTCATCCTTCTGGCCTCCTCTGGACCCACTCTAACAGATCTATGTCCTCCTTAGATTGGGGACCTGAGAGCTGAATGCAAATGGGGTCTTACAAGAGGAGCATATCGCCCTTTTGAAGCATATCACTAATGTAGAGCCAAACATGCATACAAAAGACACTGTCCAGCCCATACGATGAGTTCACAAATAATGTGACTGATGACAAGCTTCCTGAAGAGCTAGGAAGGATAAAAGCAAATTCTTGATGCCCTTAGTACACCTCTGCCTCTGTTTCAGGATCAGTACTAAAAAATTTCCAGTCCTCAGCCATTCCTGCTGTTTCCTTCTGCTGACCCTGTTCTCATGGAACCTAGATAACTGTAAACTGCTGTTCATAAAAAAAAAATAAAAATTAATGGGCTGCATCTTGGCCTCCTGGTTGGAAAGGCCACCTTGGGAAGCAGGTGGCGGAATCAAAATGTGTGGTTACCCCTTCTCCCCACTCTTGTTCTTCGAGAATAATGAATTCATTTACTAGTGAGCACATTTTTGAGTCTCTGTGTCATTGCTGCACAGGGAGAAAAGTATGATGGAAGGAAAGCAGACGTCTGGAGCTGTGGAGTCATCTTATTTGCGTTGCTAGTGGTGAGTCATCTTCCTTGCTCTATTCTTAAAAAAAAAAAAAAAAAGAAATATTCACCAATGCTGCTGTATTTAATGGTGATTCTACTGACATCATGTACAGATAGGGTTTTTTTTTCGTTCTCCTATTTTTGTATCTCTCAACTGCATCCTTTCCTCTTAGTCCTACATCAGTCCCAGAGGAAAAGCATGAAGAATATTTCACTGCTGCTCTGAAATGCAGCTGTCCTGCACATGAGAACTAAGACAAGTGTCAAAGACTTGCCTCCATAAATATCATTTGCTGTGCTGTAGTGCTGCAGCACTTTAAAGAGCCCCATTTGAAGCACACTGAATTTTTTGATCCAAACGGGTGTGCCACTCCAAGACACAGAAATTGTTGCCCTTCACAGGATTAAACATGGCTGGTTTCTGCAAGTGTTTGTTTTTTTTCTGCTGTATGAATATGTACATTTCATTAGGTATATGCATACATTAACCGCAGTCTTTTATCAAGAGAAGATTTGAGTGCAATAATTTTGTTTCATGCAAGTATTGGGCTATATTTTAATTTAGTTCACTAGAGAACATAAAACTGAGCCAACAGTATGAAGTATAAATTACTTTCCATCTGGCTCACTTGGAGTACTTTTCTTAGTATTCAAAATGCGGTATCTTGTAACTTATCCTTCTTTTGATCAAAGTTTCAATTCTCTGTGGAATTTATTCTGATTTACGGTATAATGTAACGTTCCCAAATATACAATAATCGGATGTCCAGCTCAAAGCGAATAGGTTTGGCATTTGTTATCAATTCCCATGGTACAGTGTAGGAAAACACAGATATATGCTTATATAAGCATGATGTTACTATGCACAGAATTAATGCCTTATATGAGAACAGATTTAATGCACGTTAAGTATTTTATATTTGTAATAGTTTGAGTGATGGTCTACAATTTTAAAAACAAGAAGCCTGAAGCTAAGTATTGATGTCCTTTTATTAGTATTTTCAGTTACTAATTCTTCACTTAAATGTTTTATTTTGATAGAAGCACTTGTTCACTGAGACTAAAACTCAGTTGGAGTTAGATTCTGTTCATAATTTTGGCTTAAAGTACTTCTTATACTTATTGTAAAGTATATTTTTTTCCAAAAAATTCACTGATAATTTTTTTAGTGGTTAGAATTCATGTATCTTGTAATATTCTGAGCATGATGCTTTAATTCTCCTTAACCAGTTTTATTATTTTTAGTTATTATAGTTTATTGACAATTTAAAATTTTAGATTTTTTTTTATCTCAATGCTGCACGGGAAGAGTTTTACCCATCTCACCAAGTATCACCTGGAATCTCTTGCTCCTAACCAACTATTTGCATGGGTGATAAAGCAGTTATAAAATGAGTTCCTGCTGTGACATCTTGAGTTTGTAAGAAAAGGCAAGAGAGGTTGGCAAGGTGATTGGGAAGTGTAGGTGCGGACTCTTGTTTGAAGATGGCTTCTATGTCAAGATTTGGTGTCCCTCTGTTGCTGGGAAGCATCTTCGTCTGTTTCTACATATATACACAAGCCTGCAAAATGACTGAAATGAGTCTATTATTGACAGAGAGTGCAGAGCTGTCCAGTTAATTATGTCAGGAAAAACTCTGCAAAAATTCTCAAGCTCTAATAACAGGTGGTGGTAATAAAAGATCTGTAGTTGTTACCTTCAGGAAATGCCACAAAGCAGCCTTGCTGACTTCATTGTGGATTAAATTGTGTTAGCCAAAGTACTGAACTATCAGAATTGATTTTCCCATAAGTCTGGAACTGTAAGGAAAAAAGTAGGTAACTTGGGAGGTTGGTTGTGAAAGACAGGGAGGCTCTTTCTTCATGGCTGCTTGAATGAACAACAGTAAATAGCATCCAGTAGTTGTTGCCATCAGGTAGATTTTCCAAGGCTTCTATAAATTAAGCTGTTGGTCTCAGCAAACTGTGGACACAGGCCTGCTTATACAGATGCAGTACTCACTGTAGTAAGAACAGTGCCAGCACTAACAACTGAAAGCTTCATTGTCATGGCAGCTGACAGCTTGCAACTTCCCACAACCTCTCCTGGAAGCCAAGGAAGCTCAGCACGTAGTGAAAGAGTGAAGTGAGAATATCATGGAAGGTGCATACTTGCTATAAAAGTGGAGTTATCCTAAAGATTTCTACTCTATTCCTTTTTGTCTTTGCAGCAAGGATAGGCTTTTTGCTGCTTTTTGTGGCCAGCTGATGATCTATTCAAAATGAAATTTGATCTTAAAAAAGCTCAGGCTATTCACGTAAGTGAGCTGCAGTAGGGAAGCAGTAGGAACTGATGACCTGACTGCAGCATGGGAACTGGATGGAGTATGTTAACCAGGCAGAACGTCTGCTGCTCCCAGAGGGCTGATGTTGGTTAGGGCTTTTTTCAGCTGTGTCATTCCACTGCTCCATCAGAAAGAGAATATTCTTTACTGAAAGTCACTCAAATGCTGTTCACCTCTTTTCCAATGTCTGCAATAAATGTGTCTCAGGAAGATTAAAAGTAAGGAAAGGATAAACATTGCTGCAGTGAAAGTATGCCCAGGAGGAACACCAGCAGATCAAAAGCTTGAGCTGAATTTAACTGAATACATGCATCTTTGCTGAATTTGCCTGGAAAGGCAATTTCATATTATGTATTATGCTTTATACTGGTAGTCATTTTCTAATTAAAGCTTTAATAAAAAAACCTGTATATCCTCTGCTTTTTCCTTATGTTGGAGAAAATGCAGCCGCACTAAGAAATTATTTATTTTCAGTGGATGAAAAGATAGTTTCACTTATTATAATACTTAATTACGAGCTGACATTCTCTTTTCCTTTCTCTCATTGTGTTTATCCTGGTTTTCTCCTTTTGCTCTCTCCAACTCCCTTTCCCTGCTCTCTCCCATCCACAAATCCGTCACATCCCCACAGGGTGCCCTGCCATTCGATGACGACAACTTGCGGCAGCTGTTGGAGAAGGTGAAACGTGGAGTGTTCCACATGCCACACTTTATCCCTCCGGACTGTCAGAACCTCTTGCGGGGGATGATTGAAGTGGATGCCTCGAAACGTCTCACGGTAAGGAAGCATTTGCTGTAAGTCACGTGCTCAAGGCTTTGTTTGTCACCTCATTGCAGTTACAGTTGACTAACTAAGGTAACTTGGTTTACTGCATTTCCTCCTGAGCAAAGTATGAGTGAAGTTGGTGGAGTTTTGGGAAGAGGTTACTCACCTTCCCTTTTAAATGATGGGTCCAGATTGCCTTTATGATGCTTCTCTATCTTCATAATTCTTCCTCGTGTGCTGCAGCGGGTATTTAGAATGACTCCTTCATAATCTGATCACAGTGCTACTGACCCATTAGCACATTTTGGAATCTGCCTGGGCAGTCTGGCTCTCCTGGTGGCTGTGCCAGTTTATCAGGGACGTGATGTAATTGCTTGAAGGTCAAACACAGTACGCTCCTTTTTCATTTCTGACCAAAGTGTGACTTCTCACTTCAAGCCACACAGCTGCATTGTATTCTGCCCTATGTGTGCTCTGCATTATCTTCTAGCAGCCTTCAGAGCAGGTGCCTTGTAGTCTGCTGTTTCATGTTGTGCCCTGTGGTCCTGAGCATGATTAGGCCCGCAGTGCTGAGCTCCAGGCATTCAGCACTGCATCTTTGTAGCTAGGATATAGCCCATCACTATGACAGAGAGCCTGCATGGATGAGCACTGTGTAGTGATTGTATCCTTCATTAACGCTGTGTTAATGTTTGAGGGAATTAAAAAAAATTAGCAGTTAAAATCATTTTGGAAAGCAAGCTTGCCTGCTTGTCCCTGGAAGCTTCAGCCTTTATGGGTACATTGCCCTTGTAAATCCTATTGTCAGGCTCTGCTGATGATTTTATACAGATCTACTAAGCTCACAGATTCTGAGTGGGAGTATGTATAAAGAAATGTAAATTTAAAACTCCTCCTGGTTCTTCAGTCTGCTAAAATATTTATAAATAAACTTGCAGATCAGTGCTTGGCCTCTCTATTGAGATTGCTAACAACAGCATCAGTCTTCACCAGCTGTGATGGTGCTTTTGGGATGCAGATACCTGTCTGCTAAAAAGTGAACTTAAACTCCCTTCACAGCTCTCTTTACAGTATTACCTGACAGCTGCAGCCAGGTTTTTATTTTGTTCATTACAAAATGAGGTCATATTCTGTTTGGAGATGTAGGTGAGAAGTTCTTTGTGGTATTACTGGTATCCTTACCTTTGCAAACCTAGTAGCTGTGACATTGCAGTGAAGGAGTAGCACTGATATAAAACCAAGTATATATATGAAGCACTTTAAAAGCCCTTTTTCATTAGATTTTTAACAAAAGAATGAAAACAATTATTTTTTCCAAGTATTTTCGTGGACAGAATGCAGAGGCAAGGGCTGTATCCTAAGACCGGAGAGCTGCTCTCTATGACCAAGTCACTAAACCAGTCTCTGCATGTTTCTTTTCCATAATGTAAATTTAACAGTATGCTTTACCTCACAAACTAGATGGAACAAAGCAGTAAGGCAACAGAGGGTAGGGGCCACAGTGGGTGGATAGATTAGACCTTGAATGATGAGTGTGCTACCTTTTGCCTCCCAGATACATAGACTACTGCTCTTGCTCAGGAAACCAACACAATACAGAACAGATGAAATGTTCTTATTTTTCTCTCAAAGATCTTAGTGCAGATGGCTTGAGTATGCCGATGAGCACAGATCATCAGACATCAGATCTTCTTCAAAATGTTAGGATTTAATTTTGCCAGAGAACACTCTAATTTCTTAACTTTGCCTGAAGATTTAAAGCTGTGTGGTACAGCAGAGACTGTACACGCACAAGAGTGAAAAACATCAAGGTAAATCAAGGTCCCATAGTGATCCCCCCATTTTCTTGATCAGAAAGAAGCTCTTATTTCCTTAGGGAGGAATTGTTATTGACAAGTACTGTGACTAAGAATTTGAAGTAAAATGCATGTAAGAGCTGAGAGCTGAGAGGAAAAAGAATAGGTCTTTGTTACTAGCTGCAATCTTATTTTCATTATTGTAGGGTCTCTTGGTTTGCTGTCCCTGCTGCTGTCACACTTCCCTTTCTATGCTGTTAGTGTTGTGGGTACTTAAAGCGCCAGGCAGAGTGGAGCTCTTTGTTTACTGCACAGGATCTAGGAATATGTAATTCATTTCAAGGAGAGGTCTGAATTTTATTTTAGCTGTGTCCTGCAAATAAAAGAGGATATAAGTATGGGTTTATTTGGAAGCCTGTATTCCTAGAAAATGTCTTACTTGAATCAATTTGATATTTATATAAAAAATGTGAGCAAAATTGTGGCTTGGGTACAATAAGGGCCGATGTACTGATCATTTGTTCAGTATCTTACTGGTGAATTCCACAGAAAAATATAGTGATTATAGGTTTACTAGGATTTTTTCTTCTATTTTTCACTTCTCTGTCTATTTTTCACTTCTCTACTCTGCTTTGTTTCTTTTTTTCATGTGTATCTTTTTTCCTTTTCATCCAACTGCATTTCCCCCACTGCAGTAATTGCCATTTCACAGTACACCCACACCTTCCCCAGTCCATCTGTTAAAATGATCAACAAAAACAGATCTAACTTTCATGTTCAACTGTCATCGTTAGGCTTCGGTGTTAGAGCTTGAGACAATTATCGGAGGAGAGGGCACTCAGAAGTATTGTTGCTGGCCCTTTCCTGCCTTAGGAAGTTGGCATTATGTTTTGTTATATATGAGTCATTTATAGAAAGAGGAATTCATTATGTCTTAGTGGAATAAGGTTCACACTCACTGTGTATTCTGTAGTCTGAAGGATGGATAGTCAGATGTGCCTGAGTGCTACCCTTTACTAGGCTTGTTCAGCTAAGCATGCTTTAGGTAAAAGAATCCGTATTTTTCTTTCAGTAGAAGGAGCCCCTGACTGCTGGGTGTGGTATTTCTGACTGCCCATGCTCGGTAAAGATTAAATCAAACAGGCAGTACTGCAAAGGAGGAATGCTGAGGCGGTGGGAATTGGAGTGAGTTTCCCTGAATAGCACAGCCTAAAAAAGCTTGACTTAGTCTACCTACATGATATCTGAGAGAGAATGTACTAGTCATCCACGTATGAGCTGGAGGTAATTATCAGGGAGAGAAGGTTTAAACTGAAGGAAGATACTAGCACAAAAACAAATGTATGTCAAGTAGTTTCATGTCAAAACATGAAACTAGCCTGGAAATGAGAAGAAGCATTCTAGCCCTGTCAATGGGATATGGGGACAGCTTTCTATCAGAAGTAGTGTCAGGAGGGAAAAGTGAACTACTTTTAGGTTTTGTAAGGCTTATGGAAGACAGTGTGAGCTCTTGGTGCTTGCAGTACTGCAGGATATGATTCCTTTCAATTATGTGTACTTCGAAAAGTGAATGTGTTTCCTTGGAGGTTTCCAATGACTCAGCATCTCTGCAGTGGAGAATTACAGTTCCTGTGGTGGAATCCATTTGCATTGTCTGACGCTTTCTTCCACAGAAACAGAAAGGCAAAGAGGAGAAGGAAGGAGCTTTGGTCCACTTTCCTGTTAAAGAAGAGTGAGCGTTGTCAAGAGTGTTGTACGACAAGTAGGGTCAGGGCAGATCAGTTATTGCACTGATCTGTGGAAACTATTCCGAACTATGGGTTGTGATAAAGCTGTTATTGTTCCCAGTGCTGACATTTTACTTGAGAATAAAATGACTTGTGTTGGATGTCCACATACATGTTAATGCTGAAATATTAGCCAAGTTAAATTACCCAAATTTTCAGTCTCCTCTCCGCTGTTCTTTTTTTTTTTTTTCCTGGAGTCTCATGTATGCTATAATGATATTATCTTTAATGCTTCCCAATTTCTAAAGCACGATAGAAAAAACGATGGAGGGAAAAATGATCCTGATTCCTTCTTTTTTTCTAGCTCTTTTGGTAAGATGCCTATCACATCATTCAAACTGTTTTACTTCACCACCTGTGGAGTGGAGGCAGTTGTCCAGTTGATGTACATAGGCAGTAAGCTTTTGGTTACCACAGGCCTATTCTTACAGTGTGCACTTAGCACAGCAGTACCTTGCCCTTGTTGAGGTCCCTGGAGGCTGCTATAGTATGACTGCTGCTACTGATGGAAGTGACGGTTCTCCCGCTGTTGGTGCTATCAGCTTGAATGCTTTGGTCAGGAAAAGCCTGTATCTCGACATTATATAGTAGGCTTAAAGCTCAGACTAGAGAATCTTCTAACTGAAGAAGAATTATCTGAGATGTAGATTGAGTTAGTGCATGGATGGGTTTGAAACTGTTTGTTTTCTGGATGGGGAGGTTTGAAACCTGACATGAGTTCAGGCTCAGAAGCTCTCATCCTTTGGACTTTTAGAAAGTTTTTCTGCAGGTAAGAATGTTTCGGCTTGGCAACCAGTCTGCTAAGATCAGTACTGAGGATGTAGACGGCACTGTCTTGTTTTCCATCTGCCTGTCTGTCTCCATCTGTTGTTCCCTCTCAGTATTTAGACGTAAGCTCCTTGGGAGAGGAGACCTCCTTTTCTGATGAGCATGTACAGTTTTTCATCAAACTAGATTTAAGAATATGGGTCCTCAATGCTGCTTCAGTAATCAAGGTTAATATATATAGGAAGTACTTTTGTGTAAAACCATTATAAAGGAGTTTCCCAACTCCTTCTATCTCAGCATTTTATCTTGCAGAATCTCTCCTCTGACTGTGCATGTGCAATGGAGCTAAACATGTTTTGTTGTTTCAGAGATGACATCATGAGGCAATTGCCTGCGGTGGCTAGGGGATGTTAGGAAGCAGCATTTTAACAACTTCCATAAAATGGCACTAATTTTGGCAAACTCATGTACAAACAGCAAGCAGAACACTCTGGGCTGTTAAATGCCTTTGTCACTTATATGCATTTAAACATTGTGTTTAAATGAAGGCAGGAGGAGTAAGATTAGCTCCCACTGTGTATCTCCCTCCCCTGCATTGCATAGTAAAAAGCATACAGACTTCTCCTTGTCAAAACCGATCGCCCTCCTTTAACCCTCCTGTCACTTTAATGCAGATGAAAAACAACAAAGCATTAATTAATTACCTTTAAAAAAGCGGTGAAGATGTTGGCAGCAGCAAGTACGCACTTGTAATAACATTTCAATGCAATTACATTTGAATCAGAATAGAAATTGGTTTTGTGGAGTACCATTCATATCTGGGGTATCCCTGAGTACTTCACAGCAATGATTTTGATGTGGATGGAACTGCAGATTTGTAGGTAAACAGCAGCCATTGTGTTCTCACATGAGAGCTCTCAGACACCTTCAAATAAACGTATATCAAAGTGCTAGGGGGATTCTCTTTTAGAAAATTGCTGTGGGATCATTAGCTCGGAGGAGTTTGATCAGCAAGAATGAGCAGAAGGGATTTCTCTGTGACATCTCCTCTGAAGGAGCCCAGGGGGTCTGTGACTAACACAGGAACTGGTGGCTCTTCTTTTTCCCTCTCTGACTTACAGAATGAAGTGCTGTTTTTCTGCATATTGCAGTCAAAAAGAAAAATGTGACCCACAGAGACAGAAAATGCAGCAGAAGAAGCAAGCATGAAAGAGACTTGGACATCGCTTAGCTGTATCATCTGCATCTTGTCTGAAATCATTAACATCTCTAACCCTCCATGTGGTGTATAGGAAATAAGGAGCAGAGATGCATCTCTGTCTCTTTTCAGTGGTATCCAGTGCCAGGACAAGAGACAGGGGACACAAACTGACACACAGGAGGTTCTCTCTGACCGTCAGGCAGCACTTCTGTGCTGCGTCAGTGCCGGAGCACTGGCACAGATTTCCCAGGGAGGCTGTGAGGGTGGGTCCTCCTGGGACGCTGTCTGGGCAGCCGGCTCTGCGCATTTTTGCTGGAGCAGGGGCTGGATCAGAGGGACCCAGAGGGCCTGGGATTCTGTGATCTTACAGAGTGGTTCTACAAAGCAAAAGAGGCTCACTCCTTAACAGATTCTTGCTGTAGTAAGCACCTGGTAACTAACCGTTTTACAATCCTACCCTGTGAAAGGCATACAGAATAGGCTCTTCTCATTTGTTTGTGCCTCAGCTTGCAAAGGCCAAGAGGAAGAAGAGTGCATCTCTAGGTTGACAGGAGAACATACATAGATATATATGGACGTTATCTTCTTGAATTAAGCCACTTAGGGGAAATGCCAGTGTGTCTTGAATACTCTGCCTTTCTTTTAATAGTGCAGCGGTGAAAGGACTTATTAATAGAGGAGACTGTGATGAAAGGAATTCCTTTGTCAGAGGCCTGCAGTCTGGGGTTCTGTTGTATACTGCAACACCAGAATGAACAGTAATAAGAAAAAAGACAGATGTGGCCCCATGTTCTCTTCTAGTTCAACTACCAGAGTTCCCATGTCTGGAAACCACATGATGTCGGGAGACACAGGTCTCACCTTCTGTCAAGCTTTCCTAGTTTGTATTCCCTTGTTTCTTTGTTTCTGATATGAGCCCTGTCTCACTTAAAAAATGATCTAATATAAAGCAGAAATGAGATCTTCTGGGTCTCCCAGGCAAGGAGCTGTTGTTCCATGGTACAGAGGCCTCTGATTCCTGCCTCTCTGCAGTGAACACTTACTTTCTATCAGTGAAATTTTGTTGTGTGTCTACTCCTCTATTGTGGTGTTTGTTTTTTTCTTCCCCTTTTGCTCCCCAATTCTCATTATTCTGGAATTGAAGTGGAAAGTAATAGCAGGACAGCTGTCTCCGTTCTTTCGAACCAGTTTAATGGGCCAGTGGTTTCATCTTATAGCTTGAATTTCCTTCCAGCTCTCCACTGCCTCTTGCTCACATGTTGCACAAACAGAAGCCTGTTAGCAGTGAGTGTGCACATTGCTCTGCGTGTACAAAGGTTTTTCATAAAGGGAAAGCAAGAAATGTCGTCCTCACAATGAATAATTTCTGGCTATTGATAAAAATTGCTTTTCTGTTGCGACAGTGCTTCAGAGAATAACTAGGTTGGGAAGATTCTGCTGTTCTGCTGTATTCTGAACAGTCTGGGATTTCAGAAAAAGCTGTTGCTTTTTTTTTTCCCCTGTCTTTGTGAAATATGTGGTCATTGTGTAGCACGTTTGTTGGCATCTGGTTTTCATAGATGGACAAAGCCACTGCTTTGGTCAGTCCTTCATTACATAATAAAATGCTTGTGTGTGAAGCAGAAAAGAGGGAAGCAAAAGGAATTTGAACCTAAACTCAAGGGTGTTGGAACTATAAACAGTATTTTTCAACATTAAACCTTATTCCAATGGGTCTTTAGGTTTTTTAATGGTAAATGTGAAGCCTAGCAAGCACAGTCTTGGCAGAACATGTCACAGGTACACACTTTGTTTTGTTCATGCGTACTACCTATTTCAGTTTTTATTTCCTTCTCTTGCTCTTTCCAAAACAAAGCTAGGAAAGAGCTTTTAGTGTGAACAGTCAGGCATTATGCACATATAGGAGGGTGCAGTTTATTATCTTCAATTGGATTGTAGAATGGAAGGAAGTAGGAAGGGAAAACAAATAGCCAAAGCACTTACCTGTGAAGCATTGTACTTATGTGTTTTCCTGGGATTTGCTCCTGCCTTGTTCCCTTTTCCAGAGTTACAGCCTCATGTACACTGGGGTGGGGTGAGGATGAGCGTGGTCTTTATGCAGTGAGAAGTTCCTCTCATTTGCATAGGTCCAGGTCTGGAGTGGTAGACTTGGTCCTTACTAGAGACAAGTCTTGAGTGGGGATGTCTTATGGAGTTTCCTCTTACGTTTTGCAGAGCTAATTTCTTGTTTTCTTTTCTTTGCAGCTAGAACATATTCAGAAACACATATGGTATATGTAAGTAACGTTTTAAATTCACTTTTGCATGCAATCAGTATTGATCATGTTATGAAAGCTGGAATGCTAGGGATGTTTGAAGAGAGAACAATAGATTTTGAGAGCAGATTTCACACAAGTGGAGAAAGAGGAAGAGAACAGGAAGAATGTGTTTTTTTACCCTTTGCTACTAGTATGTTTTCATCTCTGTAGCTTCACGCTAGTAATTTTGCTTACAGTGACTAACAATTGTCTGAAATAAGTTGTTCAGTCCAGCAGCTTGCTGTTTTAAAAATATACCTAAAAGTGACTGTGTTTTTTTAAAAAAATAGCAGTCGTATTTGGTTTGCTCTTCAAGTGATACAGAGAATCCCTTGTAATACCATCTTGACAAGAAAGCTTTCACTTGTTCCTTCTTGGCATCTTGGTTTTTCTCTGAATTAGAAACAAAAATGATTATATTGATAAGTAAGCACCTGTGAACAAGAGACTTTCTGCCTCAAAATCCCTGCTCCTTCACAGCAAGCTAAGAGGCTGCTTGTGACCTTGTAACCTGTTGATGTGAGAGTAGCTCTGTGACTTGATTAAAAGCAGCAGTCTTGACAGTGAAGCAGGAGGTCTGTGAGAAAAGAATGCACCTGTCGAGTGGTTTGGGCATAAGGAAGATTGATGGCTTTTAGAAGTGACCTTGCACTCCTGTGTATCCCTTACAGCATTTCAACAAACCTAAGTAAATAGCATTTTTTGTTTATACTCATGATAAGTTCATTAACCTGAGGATATAAGGAAATGGTACTTTAATACACACTTCTGGGTGTCAGCATACCTACACTTTCCCTGGGTGGGTGATAAGGAAAGTCCTGCCTTCATAATCCTCCTCTCGCTGCTCTTGGGAAATATTTGAGGATGATATGAACTGATATTTAAGCCTGTCACTGGGAAAAAGAAACACCTTTGTTTTGATTTGTTTTGTTTTCTCTATATCTATCTTATGGGCAGTGTTCAATTGCTGGCTTCACTGACTTCAATAGGACCCAAGGGCATTCAGCAGTTTGTAGAATACCATGTTTTCTTCTTAGTTCACCTGAAATGGTTACAGCACTCTGCCTGTGGTTTTTTCACATTCTCTACAGTTCCCAAGTAACATGGCACCTTCCAAAACCAGAGAAGGACTTGAGTCTTGTTTGCTGCAAGTTTTCTTTTGTTTGTTTGTGTAGTTCTCATGGATAAGTGCAGGAGAAATGGAGGGGATCTCTCTAATTGTAAGTCTGAATTAGCTCTCCTGTAAAGTCTGACAAGAAATTCCAGAAGTAAAATCTGTTTATACCAGGCTAGGCAGTTGGTCCCCTTTGTTTCTTTATGGAGTAAAATCAGCTGACTTCAGTTTCTCTGTGTGAGAAAGTGGAATAGAATCATAGAATCGTGGAATCACAATAGGAAATAAAATTAAATATAATTGATTACTTTTATTATTGCTCTAACCATCCTTGAGATTTTTACATGCAGGTTTTCACTGATCAGAATATAGTATTCTCAGGCTCACATGCACAATTAGGCAGATATTTTTTATTGTAGACATAAACATTTTCATGTGTTCCTTGATGAATCTAATACTGTTCTTATAAGTATAAACTGGGTTTTGCAAAAGCTAGTTCTCCCTGCACTCCCAGTACAGTCAGTGAAGAGAGAGAAAGGTTCCTTCAGAAGAGTGTTCAGATTGCCTAAAGCAGAGTTTCTGCTCAAAATAGCTTTTTAAATTAGTCTCTCTCATTCTCTCTCTACTGGCCATGGATTGACCTAAGGAAGTTAACCTTCTTTGGCTAAATTTAGTCTGTGAATAACCCTAGAACCTTCAAAACTCCACTGCTTTCATCTGATGATGTTTCACAGCCTCTTTGCATTTATTTTGCCTGGAAGTATTGATGCTGGCAGAGAAGGAGTGGTTACAAGTGTTTGTCACTGTGGCTGTTTTGCTCGTATCTTTCATTTTTTCTTTATTTCATTTATAACTACTGTCCTATGTAAAGTCTTTACCCATTGTATATAAACTACTGACGTGGAAGTTGTACTCAGAACATGATAAGTCATAACATTTGATTCTTCAAATAAATATTCAGGATTTTGTGAAACTGTGGAAAAAATTAATTGCAGTCTCAGCAGACAGAAAGGTCTTGAAAGTTGAAGTAATGATTCACAAGCCTAAAAAAAAAAGGAGAAACCAAAGAGAAACCTTTCATCACCAACCTCCACTTCTTATTCTTTCATCCAAATTAATTCAGTGAAGCTTTTAAACTGTTTTTTAATTGAAATCATTTATTTTTACCTCAATTGCAGGTTATCATAAATCAGTGAAAAAACAGCAGCTGTTTTCACTTCTTTTTTTTAAATAAAACAAGAAGGCAAATAAATTAGCTGTTACAGTAAATACATACTTCTGTAGCACTGACTTATTGCCCTAATTGTGAAGATACCAAATTTACAAAAATCAGAAGAACAGTGGTACCAGTGCTGCTTTCCTTTGCTCTAGTGTAAATGTGCATTTCAATGAGATTCATGAGAGAATTTCATGGACAGACTGAAAAAGTCTGCCCTGTTCTGGAATCACATCCATTGTATGCACCATTCCTCACAAAAGAGGCAGGGTTCTAAAGCAGCAATTACATTCATGCAAGACTTTAAAAAATATACGTGATTTGCAGTATTCATCGGTTGACATTGTTTGATGTCTGTGTGGGTTGAAATGCAACAAATTTGTCACTCTGAACCAGACTGAGAATGGAACAGGCAATACAGGCATGCCAATCACAGCGCAGACCTGGTGATTCTCATTTCCTGAAGCTCTGAATGCATTGCCAAATGACGAGGCACCTCTTTGCAGATTTTTCTTGTCCCTGATGAGTAGGTGTGAATATTCCTGCCTATGTCTGAGGCTGACCAGGTGCTGGGCACAAGGAAAAGCCACTTTTCATTGCACAGAAGATAATGGGTTGTGCTCTCCAGAAATAGCACCCAAGCTGATGGATATAAAAGATGATTGCAGGTGATACTTGCTAAAGACTAAGACAACTAGTAGGAAACCTGGATTTTCTGCGAATTTTCAAAAGCTGTGATTTCTTTTTAATATCTCAAATTACCTCAAAGACCTCTGCTATTAATGTAATGAATGACTAATGAAGTCAGTTCCTTCTAAAAATGATTTCCATACCATTAGAAAACAAAAGCACTCAGCTGCTGTCCAAAGGTATGTCCTGCAAGAATTTATCTTAATGACAAGGTTCATCACTGGCTTTAGCTGTGCAAAGCTATGATCTAGTCTTTGCTTTTTACCTGCTGGGAGTTAAATCCTGACACACTCTGAGTAATAACCAGCTGTCAGAGTAGTTACCTCCTGAAGATAGGGCACTCACAGAGTAACACATTTCTTTGGTTGGACAAGATTTCCCAATTTAGCTCTTAGATTTAAGGACAATATCATCATTTCTCAAGATGTAGAGACTTCTGTGAGATTTCACGGAGGCATCATAAGCTGTATTTTAGAGGCTGAGACCTTGAGCTTTTACGAATGATATTTCTATACTTCCTTTCTGACCTACTCAAGAAAAATTAGGGTTACATTTAAATTGGAGCTGCTTTTCTTCTGAAGGTACCTGGAGAGCTTGCTTCTGAGCCTAGACCACTTTAAGCCTTGTGTGTAAGTTCAGAATTTATGCTCGCCTTATTTCTGCCAGTATTAAAAGGAAGTCCTTTGTCCAAACTGCCATCTGATGCAGTTTAGATATTCCCAATTTCTGTTGTCCACCCTGGGAGCTTGGACCCAACTGTCACATATTCACACCATGTAATAGAAAGGGAGGACCTCACCCAAAGAATATGTAAACCTCAACATCACACAGAACATCACAGCAAACTCGAATATTAAGATGGATAGAGTTGACATAAGTTGCTCCTTGCCCAGCTGAATAAAAGCAGTGGACGGTCGGGGTGCCTGAAATATGTATTATTCAGTCTGTTAGAGATATCCTGACATTTTGACCTGTTTTTGTAGCCAGAGCTTTTAATTGCAATGAATAATCAATATTTCCTGACTCTGGTGAATGGAATGAGAGGATTATGAAGGAAGCCTGTGTTAACTACTTTTAGAAGAGTAATATACTCAGTAATATACTCTGCCACTAATGGTGTGTTCCTAGCTTCTCCGTTGACCTCAGGCATCACACTTGGGCCAGAATTTTTTTGAAGAGAAACAGACATTGTCATATTTTGGCATGTAAATAAAAAGCGTGATTTTGCCCCAAATCCTTTGAAGTCTGTCACATGGGAACCTTGATAGTGAGATCTCTTAAGCCACATTGGAAGTTTCCAAGTATGAAATGGCTGCAGTGTGTGTTGTAATCAGAACTGGTGAAACGAGGGTTTGTTCACAGCTTGTTCTTTGAAAGGGAATCGTTCAGCTTGCTCTTTTCATCCTGATAGCCTGAGGTCTGGCTGATGAGACAGTGTCTCTAAAATCATGTAGTGTTTTATAAATGTTTGGCATTAAGATGCTGAACAGCTGCTTAAATTATGAGGGCACTGGTAAGTGAGGTTCCTACTGCCTTTCTGACTGAGTGCAGGCATTTCTCACAAAAAGACCAAAATCCACAAGGTGCTGATCACTCTCAGCCTTCACAGCAGCTTCTCCTGAAGAGAGTGTCTGTCTGGTTGTGAGATCTGGTCTCTCAGTGGGGATTGAACAAGCTATTTCCATCTGTTGCTGCAGGCTGCGTTTCGGAGTACAGGTTCATTTGTAACTCATGTTTCTTTTCTCTTCTTCTTTCCCTACCCTATTTCTCTCTGTTATCTTCTTCTCTCTGCAGAGGGGGTAAGAATGAGCCAGAACCAGAGCAACCAATCCCTCGAAAGGTGCAGATTCGTTCTCTCCCTTCATTGGAGGATATTGATCCAGACGTGTTAGATAGCATGCACTCGTTAGGCTGCTTCCGTGACCGAAATAAACTCTTACAGGACTTGTTGTCAGAAGAGTAAGCACTTGCTCAGACTAAATATCAGTTGGGTCTCCATGGGTTGGGATGCTTGCTGTCCTGGGGAAAGGTGGAGATGGCTTTGATACGTCTGTGGGTACGAGGGACCTGTATCAATGCCTCGCCCTCTGACTGCCCAGTGGCCAGTGAAGTGGGAGAAAGCAAGAAGTCGCTGGGCCTTTCTTAGCGCTGTGTGTCAGTGGAGATGTGTTGCTGTCTCTTCTCGTGCTGCCAGATGTGGTCATTTCGTGAAAAGGTGGGCCATGCAGTCTGAATGGAGAGGTATCGGTGCTGTTATTTGTGTTGGATATGCCTTTGTTGGCAAATTGTTACTTGTTTCAAGCTATGCCTGAGTGTTGGTGTGTTTCCTGGTGTGCTATGAGGGGTATATAGTGGAAAGAGCTCTTAAGGGCTCGGAGATCTGTCTTCTTATTGCTCTTGGTGTGGACTTTGTGTGGATACATTACCTCATGTGTCCTGTGCCTCTACTCCAGATGTGTAATGGGAGAATTGTATTTCCTTCTCTCTGTTGGAGACAGCAAGGCTCTCAAAAGCTTTGTGAATTGCGCATCTAGCTAGCTGGTACATGGCTATTTCCAGCTTATTTAGAATAACTGTAACTGCATGAGAAGAAAGGTTTTTTTACATACTTATTTTTTCTGCTTCAAATTTAAAGATTTTTTTCCTTTTTGTTTTTTTCAGAGAAAACCAAGAGAAAATGATTTATTTTCTTCTGCTTGACCGGAAGGAGAGATATCCTAGTCATGAAGATGAGGATCTTCCCCCTAGAAATGAAATAGGTACCAAAGAAATGATCTCTGTCACTATGAACCCATCTCAACTAGTACTTCTTTGCCCTTTTTCTTCTCATATCCTCAAACCTGAAACAGTTTACACCATTGGTGAGAATATGTGGCCAAAGGGGGGCAGATGCATTTTGTGATTAAACTCAAAGGCTTTGTTTTTCATGACATATCCGTCTCAGCACAGAAACATCCGTGTTGGTCTTGAGCCAGAAGTCTTAAAAAATTTAATGCAGACCCACAAGCTACCTTTATACTACCTTTATGAAATTAGAGGAGGTTTAGGAGCAATGTAGTCTAGTGGTACAATTTTCTAATTACTGATCTATGTGCAGTCTTGCAGAGATGCTTCTGGGCTTCTATTAGTAAGACTATACCATTCATTACATTTCTACAAAGTTCTATGTGTACACATCCTCCGTTGGAAGAATGAATAATATCACTTACCTGTTTATAGTACATACATTATAATGCCATGTTTTTAGATTATCTTAAAAGGATTTTAGAAGTTTAACACGCAGTAAGATTATATATATCTTATAAAGCTCCTGTGGTACCATTTTATTCCTGAATTGTTCTTTGTTAGTATTTTAAAATACAGCTGATCACCAAGGACTACATTAATATAGATAGACAACTGGAAAAATGCTCCCCTAAGGAGCTAACAGTGTAAGTGACTCGTGCTGTGCATACTGACAGAAGTTTAACTAATAAAGCATTAGTCACGTCTATCAGTGGCCCGAAATAGCATTTTTATACAGTGGAGTTGTGATTTGTAGGTCTTGTATTTCACTCATTTGAAGGCTAGTGCCAAAATGCTCTTTAACTGGAAAGCCTGTTATCTCCCAAGCCTACAGGACAGTGATATATTAAAGTGTAAGTTTGTTAATACTCAACTGAATTATTACATTATCAAAGTTCCAGGCTACTGGACCTGTAATTTTACAGAGAGATCTCATCTGAGGGGGTAAAATGGAAATTCTGAGTCAACCTGGTAGTTTTTTAAACTCTTACCTGGATGGAGCTGCAGAGAGCATGTCAGCAAGCATCTTGGCAAAGGGATAAATGTGCTTGCCACAGGTGATCTAGTCAAAAGTCCTTGCTCAGTGCGATTTGGCATCTTGCACTTCACTCATCAGCTTTTGACTCACACAGATTATCCTGCAATGTAATGACACCCTCTTATCTTAGATGTGCTTCACAGAATCACATAATGGCCAGGGTTGGAAGGCACATCAAGATCATGAATCTCCAACTCAAATATGTATATGCTTCTGTCGTAAGAAAAGCAGGGCGGCTAGTCTTCATATCCAGCACGTAACTGAATACACAGCTGTGCCTTTAATGCATCACATACATCTTTCCTCCACACGCCAAAGTATGTGATGAACAGAAGTGCTATTACCCACTCCTGGATATTTTTTTTTTGTACAAGGGATGACGATGTTCTCCATCAGGGAAACATCACTCTGAATATATCAGTGTGCTGCATTGGCACATTTTAGACTCTGCACATTATTCTTTGAGTGTTTTTCAGTTGTCTTCTGTGTTCCACAGGAGCTTTCTACCTCCTCTGTTCACAGCAGTATCTCTGAGAACATGGGGCAAGTTTTAATTAAGAGCAGTCATGCTTCTGATGAGTATCTCATCGGTAGCCATTAGCAATGGCTTTGCACAAGCAGAGAAGAGCAGGGAAAAGGTAATGGATATAATATTAGCAGCTTGAAGAAACCACATTCATGAGAACTGTGCATTGCCTGAGTTCATGCCAAAAAAAAAAAAAAAAATCTAATTTTATTTTGCCTTTTCCTCCTTCTTTGCACATTAGACCATGGAATGGATGGATGTGGGTAGAAATAAAGATTTGGCTGCATTAGACTAGCACTTTCTCTTCTGATATCTGTTTTGTATGCTTCAGCTATGTAAAGCTTTCTCGAAGGGTCAGAAGAGGGCCACCCTAACTGTCTTGTGAGTCCAGTTCTATTTTCTTTAACTGAAAACAAGGAAATAAGAAATCTCTCAGTAAAATACATACGCATCAACTGATGTCTCCTTGAGCAAAAGGCTTACGTGGAGATTCTTAATAGAGCAGAGTAAAGGAGATTCAGCCAGAATAGCCATGTTAGGATGACATGCATAATCCAAACTCACAAACTGAACCTTTGTTTTATGCCTTTCAAATGAACGGCTTTAGGATTGGGTTTTTACCTAGGCTCTTTCCCTGTAAAAATCCTTGAGAATGTCTTCACTTTTGTGATATGAAGTAAGAGGAAAATACATCTCCAGAACTACCATGTATCTAGACTGGGACTTGAATGGTTTTTTTTTTTGTTTCTCTGTGAAGCATTTCCAGAGACTCAAGAACAGAAGTGTGTGCACTGAAGATTTTCCTATCTTTAATTCCTGTACTGCTGCTAAATCTCCAACTGTTCTTATATGCCACCACTTTAGTCCTTATGAGAGGATGAGTGTGTGTTTTAGTATCCTTAGATTTGACAGTGATGACAGACTTGGTACCCTGTGGTTTCTTACTTAAAGCCTTTGAAAAATATGTACAATACTTGCTGCCTTCAGTCATGTATAGTATAGGTTTGTAGCCAGTTTTAAAGAGAAATCAAGTACCACTATTAGAAGCTCTACCAAATTCGTACAAACTTTTGGATGTATTTTCCATCAAACCCATCAAACCCTGAATTGCTGTTGTTGAATTTATTGATGTACTTCACCACCTTCTCCTTTTGCTTATTTCCTCTCTTTCTTAGCTTAAAATACAGATTGGAAATCAGTATCTTGAGCAGCAGAGATTGATACAAAAGTATCATTTAGCTTGTTAGCAATATCCTTATCCTTCCTAATTGTCCTGCTGATTCCCATATAGTCTTTCTGGCTGCTATCCTTCTCTCAAGCTTTCTGTCAACAAAATACTGTTGTTCAGATCTTTGGCTCATTCCTCTTCAATTCCTTTTTATCTTGTTTCTATTGTCCACTTTGTATTTAGCCTAACCATCACTTTTGCATCACTTGGCTAAATTTCCATTTGGTAAAGTGTTTTGTTTTGAGCATGCATGGATGAACTTGCCTTAAAAATTTTCTTTTCATATGCTGTTTCTCTTGCCATTTTCCTTCTTATTATTTATACTCTGTTATTAACTAACCTTGATACAGTCAGAGCTTACTCATCTTTTTTTATTTTTTAATTTCTTCATCTTGCTCTTCTTTGGTCTGTGTTATCTTCATCCTACTTCTTTCTTTTTAAGCTGCACTCTTCCCCTTTCCTTTATAGTCTCTGATGGTATCCTTCTGTAAATCTTGTGTCAACTCTGTATAGGTAACAAACATTTTAATAGTTGTTCTGTAGGATAGATCATCCTTTGTTCTTTGTACATGTTTGGAGAGCAGGAGTTTGAAATGTCTGAACTTGTCCCAGGTCACTTTTGACTGGTTATGTGTGCAGCTGAAGTTTCCCAGTACGACTGTGTTGTTAGGTTTATCTCTCTCTGTTTTTCCTGTAACTTTATGCACTGTATGTTTTTCTTGCTAGTGTTTTCTACCACTTTTCTATTATTGAACATAGCTTGAAACAGAGTGAGATACAGTTATTCTTCTCTAACTCATTTTTAACACAATTATTACTATTAATACAAATAATACTTACATTATATGGTAATAGGTTCAGTTGCTATCACTGTATCGTTTGCACTTGGGCTGTACTTGCTCGTGCTCATTGTTTCAAGAATAAACCCTGCCTTGAAGGAATCAAATTCTGAAAACCATGATGTGAGAGAGAGAATAAACAAAGCAAATAGGCCAAGACTGAGGAGGGCAGAGTCATAAAAATAATATAATCTGGCTATGCAGTAATGATAGAGTTTTAGAAAGGAATCCTGGCAGATAAAAAAGCCCTAGGGGGGCTGGATGCTGTGAGCTTCTTTGTAACTGCAGAGATGAAGGATGCTTTTTCTTAAGGGTAGTCACTCTCTGATAAAATTAAAAAGATGTCTATAAATACAAGCAGGCAATTCAAATAGTCCAAGCAAAGCAAGGAAAATCTTTCCTTATTTATTTTTCTGCTTTACTCCTTTTTACTGTTCAGATGCCATTAGATATATTAGTATTAAAAGAACTCAACAAGTCTGTTTGGTTCCCTTTATCACCACAGAGGTGTTATGGTTTGGCAAGTCACCTTGGACCAGTTGCTGTCATGCAGTTTGGTATCTAAAGACTATTTTCAGAGCAATTTAGGCGCTTCTCAGAGCTGCAGTAATTGTTTGCCTGCGCCTTTAGGAATGAAATGCCTTTAAGTATCTCATTCTTATAACTCGGTTTTCACTCAGCAAAGTGAAAGTAGCACTTGGATGCCTCATAGAAATGTTATACAATAAAGCACTTCAGTTACTACAGCAGTAAAAGCGATATGATGACCTCTGAGATAGATTTCAGTAGCTTTCATCGAAGGTTTATCTCAGGTAGTCCAGAATGTTTAATTTGTAATGCTGAAGGAAGAAATATGTAACACAGCAGGGAAAACCTGAAATCTAATACTGAAGATGCAAAAATAAGAGTATGTTTTCAGAGACTAATACAAGTCTGAATTTAGAGTGTATTTTTGTCCCTGCGTTACATTTAATCTAGCTAGCATGGGCATGGAAAGCAAGCTAAAGAAACCTGAGTACATATCCAGGATCCCTGGATGGGATACCCTTTGGCTAATAGCTTCTGCTGTAGCCCGTGCTATTATCTTGTTATTACTGTTATCAGCTTTGTAAGGTAATTTGTGCAGTCTGTGCTTTGGTCATACCTTTATTTTACAGTGCTCATACATTCAGTAGTAATACTCTTCCTCTCTGCAGATGGATTGCAACATACGTCTTAATGCTTGTAGTTTTGGAAGAGAGTGCAAATGTTCATCTCCAGGATGACTGTCTGTAGGGGAAGTGTGAGAGTGAGATCTTTGAGAGAGGATTTAGCCAACCTGTGTGAGGTAAGTCACAGCCGAATTCAGCTGACAGTGTTTTCTTTTCATAAAGATCCCCCCAGGAAGCGTGTGGACTCCCCAATGCTGAACAGGCATGGGAAGCGGCGACCAGAAAGGAAGTCGATGGAGGTTCTCAGTGTGACAGATGGCGGCTCCCCCGTCCCTGCTCGCAGAGCTATTGAAATGGCACAACATGGACAGAGGTGGGTCCCTCCTTTACTTGGGAGCTGAGAGTCCCTCCTGTCTGGGTTTGTTGCCCTCTTACATTTCGTACATACAGAGGAGCTGTGGAGCCCTTCTATTCACAGCAGCACTCATAACAACTTCCAAGCGTACTTACAATGTGATCTGGCAGCCAGCAGTGCTTATTCACACAGGAACAGAAGTCCTGCCAGGAATTTAAGATTTCTGTCCACTTGCAGCTATTGTTCAGGAAACTGCTGTGTCCTCTGGGCAAAATTCATCTCACCTCATTTTAATTGTTCAGAATGTAGGGATTCAGTCTAAGCTAGGTATACAGGCTGTCACTGTAGGCACTGGGGACAGATGAAGTCTTTGGAAGATCTCAGATATGTATGTGCTGTTCCAGCAGTCTTAGATGGGATAAATTAAGCTCTAGTTGTTCTTCTCTGTCTCCATAGCCTATGGCAGGAATCTAAATGATGATGCTTTTGGATTAGGTGCTAAGTTCTTAGGCACTTGAAGTTAAATGGAATGAACTTCATCCTCTACACTGTTAGAATAGGTGAAGTTTGGAAAGCCCTGTGCAGGCATCTGTGGGTACCTTTGAAATGTACTGTCAGGGCTGATATGCATCCGACCCACATAAATTACCATGTCTGTAAATTGTTAAAATTCATGTAATTTTACCTCTTTTCTCTGAAAGTATTATCGTTGTGGAGAGACAGCAGAAGAAAATGATGTTTCCTCAAGGCAGGTTGTGATGAAATAAGTGAACTGTGGAAGTTCACTTATGTGAACCATGGGAGTTGCTTCCTCAGTCACTATGTCTATCCTAAAGGAAGCACATGCATTTGGATTTACGCTTGTGTAAATCAGTCAGTCTTAAAGAACACTTAACACTTCACGCATATATATGCTGATGATGCTATAACTTCTGTTTCAGCTTTATGACGTGATTATTTTTGTCTAGCTATTAAGATCTGCTCAAAATGAGCCTGTTGTGCCTGCTCAGAAACTCCCTGTGCTGACTGAAAACTGGATAAAGTGAAACTGGATGAAATGGAATAATTTCCAGTCCAGAGGCCCCTAGAATTGCTAGAAAGTTTTGCTGGCAACTGTTGACTTTCTGCCTACAGTGAGGAGAAAGTGATTTTCAGGATCTTTCCAGGACTTATTACAGCCTGGATATATGGTCTTGAGGTAGACTGCCAGAAAGATTTTTCACTGTAGTGTAGGTTGGAAAACCTGACTTTGAGTGTGTGCTTTGTTTTGATATCTAATGTTTGGGTTAAGGAAATGTTCAGGTCAGCGTGTACTCTTAAATGTTCCTGGTAGGCCTCAAAGTGATAAGGATGAAGATGACACTGACAAGCAGTTGCTTACTCCTTATTCAACTTTCTGTATTTAATCTAGTACCTGGTAGATGTACGAGCCATAAATTGCCCAGAGAGGAGCCAGACAGAGGTGAATCACTTTCCCCCACCCCAAAGCTGCCTGTGAGTTGTACTCTGCAGCTGTTTGCAGTAACTGTCCAACTGGGCAAGAGAAATAGGAAGCAGTGAGATGAACAATTGAAGATAATAATCTAGTCTTGTTCCACCAGCCTAGAATGTATTTGATTGATTCTGAGATTTTCTAAGGACTGAAACCTTCCATCTCTCAGCTTTGCCTTTGAATTTGGAAATGCCGAAGAAGCAAAACTGTGTCTCATTATACTTTTGCTTTTAAATATCTCACTTAATTCTGGATGAGAAATCATTGGAAGTCAAAGGTCTGAGATGAGTGCACAGCGCTGGAGGTACATATCCAGGTGACAGGAGTAAGAAGAATTTTGGCTTTAAGGAGGAAGTAAAACCTTCCAGCCACAAAAGAGATGCAGGGAAATGCATACCACACAACACATGGTTGGACACAGGGTGTGATTGAGGGTGGAGGAAGGGATGTAATAACACCATGATTGATGATGATGAGCTTGGCAGTGCTTGTTTTGGAAGGGGTTGATGGGAAGATAGTATTTTACTCCATGTCTGAGCTTCCATAACTCATACCATTCCACTTCCACAGATGACAATGGCACATATTGTGTTGCTGGCAGCACAGTCTTTTATAACATGAACTGGCTTCATTAACAAACACCACTGCATAGGGATTGTCTGGGGACGATGCATTGCTGATGGGGCACCATCTGTCAGAGCAGTCAGTAACAAAAAGACAAGTGCCTTCCTCCAGGACTGAAAGATTTTTAGTGGCCAGCAGCATATTATTTTCCATGAAATGACCCACTGAGAGTGGATTTTACAGTGCTAGATATTAGATCCCAGGATTGGATGCTTTTTTTAAGAATGACATTCTTTGGTCTGGATAGAAGACTGCTTAGTGCTTTTATCCTATAATACTAGGAGGACAGGGAGGTGGACTGTGGAAACAGGCCTCCCGTTTAGACACAAATGGCCAGTACAAACATCTGGAGACACAGTGCTATTGCTTCTTTCTTCAGATAACCAGTGGGCAGACTCTTCTGACCATGAGCAGAACACACCCATGTGTCATGATTTAGTCCCATGTCCTTTTTCCCAGTAATAAGCAGATGTTTTGTTGCAGAAAGGGGATTCATGTTATAACTTCTGATTTTATGTGTCTGTGTGATGAGCTTGCTTTTGGTAACCAAGTGGGGACTCTACAAGCATTTGGTCTGGGCTTGTTTAAGGGCACATCTTTCTACTGATATTTGAAACTTGGCAGCTTTGAGCCAAGCAGTCTGAGAAAGTGTTAGGTGAAAAACATAGACAGTTAGTGGCTTAGTTCTGAATAATGTATAGGAAGAATTCAATGCAAACACTGCTTTTTGAGCTTGCTGACAACCTGAAATATTTGTGCTGACCTCTGCAAGTGGTCTCCAGTGGATCTTTGACTGTGAATGACAAAATTAGTGTGCACAGACACCTGATACTTGGTTTTCCCTGCTAGTTGTCCACCTAGCAGGTTCATAGTGGCATCTTACTTGATTCTGCTTTTGTGCTATTTCATTGTATTATCAAAAGAAAAGAGGTAGATTCTGAGCTTACTTTAATACCAGCTAATTCAATCCCTTGGGCCAAAATCATACAGATAAAGGAGAATTCTGTGGGAATAAGAATCCTGTGGGGATATACCAGAAATTTTCAGCAGCTCTACTGGAAAAATCCAAAACCTGTTCTAAAATGGGCTTTATTCATTTTTTTTTCTGGTTATTGAAGTAGACGGCTTGTGTGAAAAATCAGCTAACATTAGGAAGCTGTGTTCTGTGAAACAGTGAAGCATATCATGGAGAACTTCCCTTTTAGCAAAGCATAAGGAATTTTGCTTTTAAGCTTCAGGAATTCAGACCTAAGATATGGGAAAGAGAGTTGGGAGTAAGTGGTACAGGGGCCTAATGGCCTAATTCAAACCCTTTCCCAAGTTGTGCTTACTGTTGAGATCTTCTAGAGAAATCTGAGTAATGTGTGCTTTTGCTATTTGTGCCTTCAGGCATGTTCTGTATGCCCTGGACAGTGTGATAAAAGTAGATTGTATCTGGGTTTTCAACTAGATAAAGAAGAGCAGGGTTTACAAGTATGTTTGGGGGAAGTCGTCTTAGACCTCAGAAGTCAAGGGGAGATAATGAACTTCAGCTCTCTGTAGGCCTAGCCCATAGCTGTAAAGTAAAAGAAACTTTTCAGAACATTGCTTAAAAAGGGGAGGATGGGTTGGGGGGCTGGGTGTCCAGCATTGCTTCAGGTGACTCTCTTTTATAAATGTCCACACTAGTAACTCTGTTTTCTCGCTTTGTTCCTGCCATAGTAAAACAATGTTCAGTAAAAGCCTGGATATCTCTGAAGCCAATCCCAAATTCAACAAAGAAGAAAGGTATATAAACACTGACAATATGTTCCTCTCCTCTACCTCACTGCTTAGACCTTAAAGATGCAGTACTTACCTTCTCTGTATGGGGACATAGCTGTTCCTTCTTAGAAAGAAACAAAGAGAGTGGGATATTTACTGGCCCCACTACATACAGTTTTGTACAATGCCTTACATTTGAGGCTATCCCCAATGCAGCCTGTGACTATACTATTTTCCCCACTACAATGTTATCGTGTTGCTACTAGTTCAGTTCTGCCATGAGTTAGGATGCCTAAGCTAGAATATGTATTTGCTAGAACTGCTCTGGGAAAGGCTGGAGCTAGGAGAGCCAGGAGTGCTCCATTCTCAGCACTAGAAACAGCAGTACAACCAAGTCAGCAAGAGCAATAGTAGGAAATGTTGAGAATCCTGTCTGATTTGAGCAAAAAATTAAGTACCTCTAGGTAAGGGACAAACTCTTTAAGACTGTCCTGGCTGCATCAGAGAACACGAGGAAAAGGTGATTGAAAGAGGGGGCTTTTGGAGAATGATTCCAGTCTGATAGTCTAACAGATGCTGAAGAGTAAGAAAAAGAGTAACTCCCAACTATGAATAGAGGCACAGTGGAAGACATACAGTTCATTAGATTTAAGGTCTCATGTGGCACCCCAGACTTACGATGAGGTTGTTGGTGGACGTAGAATTCCTAAAATTCTGGTCTTAGAGTAAGAGAATTCTTCTCTGATGTCAAAAGCTGTCATCCCAGTGGATAATTCTTCATCGTAATGTAATGTTCATACGTTTTGAACAAACAGCCTATCCAAAATCGGCAGCTAAATACTTAGTTCCATATGATTCAAAAGAAGTGGTGAATTCCTTAAAGGAACCAGCCTGAGGACTCAGCTAGCCATTTTTCTTTCCATTTTTCCTTTTATAGCCTTTCTGCTTAAAGATAAAAGCGGTGTTTAAGCTAAGGAAGACTTACAGGATGTAAAGACAGTCTCTGTTTTGGCCTTTTGCACACTGAGTCCTTTGTGAGCAGTGTTTCAAACCTTGAACATGCCACAGTGAAGTTCGAATACCTTGCACTCACCTGATTGTCCATCATGTATGTAAGGCACCTTTAAGATGGCAACCTAAGTACAAGAATTGTACCCAAACCATTAGAAAACTCATAGTTTCATAGCCATAAAAGAATAGTGGTTACGTAGGCTTTAGTGGATGAGTTTTCCTCAGACTGATACATGTTCCTCTCTCCGATTCCCCCTGTATGTAGATTGTATTCTTGAATGTGTCACTTCTTGTATTAGCATTTAGTGTGAAACTACTCCAAAGACTAGCTCTTTCACAGTAATCAAAAATCAGGTTCAGTAAGAGAGGTGCCTTTACATCTATGGTTTGAGCAGGGTCCTTCAGATGTCATCATCCCTCTGTACTTCTCTAGCAGCTGTTAGGCTGTGTTAGGAGCAGAGGCGGTGACTCTTCAGTAGCCACTGGGGGAACTCCTTACGTACATGCAGGTGCTTTGTGCTCCCTCTCAAAGGTATTTTTTTTTCAGAGTACAGGAGAAAGGTAGGGCAGTCACAAGGATCACTTGTGGCCCCTCCTCACTGAAAGGCCAGGCTGATTTTTGAAAGATCACATTCACTGTTCTCTCACCTCCCTCTCCCTGTTAGCAGTTAGGATGAGGGACCTCAGTGGCATGAAAATTAGAGGAACTGAATTTTACATCTGTGTACAGCTACGAGAAGGGAAGGGATAGGCAGTGAAGAGATCCCCAGCCAAATGAGGACAACTAATCCTGATGGCCATTAAATTTTTGTTCAGCATTTAATTATCCAACTTTATGACGTCTTTTTTAAAGGAATACTGCATCTTTAAGGGTCCCTTCCCTCTAGATGCACATGGTTGTCTTAGTAGCTGAGGCCACTGTCCCTTTCTCTTTCTTTCTTTCTGACTTTCACCCCCTCTTTCAGCGCTTCTCTTCTTCTGTATCTGGGTTGCTGCAGCTCCGTAGTTCACTTGCTTCAGTATTGTAGGGAATGCACATGTCTGCGCTTCTGGGTCTATTGTGTCCTGGGATTGTCAATTTTTTTTGAACCTCATTTGCCTCTTCCTTTTCCCTATTGTCAACTTGCTTTCCATTCTCTTTGTTAACCTCCTAAGTGCCTTCCCCGTTGGGAAAATGACTTGAAAGAAAAATGAATCAACTTTATTGCACCCATTCTATTTACATTTTAATATTCTGCATGTTTGGGTATGGGTGTATTTGCTGTATAAATATACACACACGTTCCATTATACAATGGGTGTCAATTTGTTCTTCTCAGTTCATCACTGCAGGTAGATTTGTACTGGTCCAATTGAGGACAGCATTCATCCCTAAATATATACAATGTATATGTATTTGTATATATAAGAATGAGATCTTAACCAAATTTGCACCCCACGCCAAAGTACAAATGGAGTATCACTCAAGCACATGAAAAAGAGCTTACTATAATGCTTCTTTCCACTTCTCTATTGATGCATAGCACAACTTTTTCTTTCTGTTCTGTGTTTTAATTTTAACTTTCCTCAAAAGTACCTTGTGTTGCCTAGCCCAGCATTTGCAATGTTCTTGTATTCGGAAGCATGGCTAGTTGCACTGAGCAGGAAACTGTGAAATCTACTGGGCATATATTAAATTTGGCATTTCTGTTGGTGACCGTCTTGTGGAAAATGGATTTTCCTCACCCAGCCAGAGGTAACTCTGGCAGCTTGGGAGCCTGTTACTGAAAATGGAGAGAGAGAAAAAAAAAAAAAAAGAGACAGAGAGGAAAAAATCACAGCATCTGCCTTGAAAATTATTTGGTTTAATAACACACCAGGTGTTCTTTATTCCTAATTAATCTTTGTTAATCTGAAAAAGTGGTGATGCTTTCTTGAGTTTCTGTACCCTCACCCCTAAAAGCTTGATAACCTGACTATTCTTTCCTATTTTGAGTGCTTTGGTTACTGGTGAAAAAAAGAATCTTGAAGTTTTTGATTGTCCCTTGGCATCAAAGTCAATGTGTCAGATATTCATTCTGCCTTTAAAGCTGCTGTTTCGGACTCTTTTCAGCACAGCATTGATTTATTCTCTGTTCACATTTGAAAGATTTCCCTTGCAACCTTTAAGAGCCAGAGTCTGAATTTATTTTAAATGAAAAATGAGATCCTGGAGCACAAGATAGCATCCACAGAGATAAGTGCTGGGTTGCTGAGCTGGTATGCTCTAGGTGATCTGAATTCCTGACTCTAAGACCATCATGACTAATAAGCCAGTAACAAAGCAGAATCATAGCTTGAGCTACAGTCTTGTACCCTGGGCTCCCAAGCTGGCTCAGAAATGCATGCTTTAATAACCAATAAGTTTCACAGTTCATTCATGGCAAAAAAAGTACTTCTTACCAGGCCAGCTTGGGGGACAGAGGGACACTACATTGAGCAAAAAGGAGACAAAAAGGAGACAATTTCCTTTATAACAGTTTGTTGTAACTGTGACTTATGTCAGAGTCAGAAAAGAAATTCAGCATAACATCTGATCCCCGTTGCTCTGCTGACTGCTCTCATTGGGATTTGGCTGGAAAGGTTTTTTTACAGCCTTAGAATGTCCCTCTCCATATTCCCCAGTGCCAAAGTTGGGTGTGTCTGCATTATTGTGAGCAGGACAGAAGTTATTTTCTAGTGAATCAAACTGTCCCCCTCGTGTTCCTGGTTTCTGAAGATGTAGGCACCTGTGGCAATAATTATGACCGTGCAGTTCTCCGAACAGTATTTCACTCTGCTTTTCCTACTCTTCTCTCCACCTGCTTCCACATCCCCCTCTTTCTCTTTCTCTCTTTGCCTTCTCTCTTCATTTTCTCTTTCCAAGGATGGCGAGTGCTGATCCATTGGGGTAAGCTCTAGTTTTGGATTATTCCTGTTGTGGGACCTGTTATGACTCGTAGAGAAATTTCTCATTTGCACTTTACAAATACAATACAAGTGGATACAGTTCAGAGAATGAGACTTCTCAGCAGGGAGATAGAGAGAGATGTGGGAAGAAGCATTTTTGGTGCTTTTGTGTGTGTTTGTGTGCTTTTAAGTTGGAGTTACACTCCATATAGCTTAGTTTGGGGTTCTTTTTTGTTCTCTTGTCTGTATGTTTCAATGTCTGTGAGCACACAGAACTAATCTCAGACACTGTGTAGGTACCAAAATACCTGAGAATATCTCCCCCTTCTCTTTTTGTATCTTCTTGATACCTTCCAGTTAACTTTGATCCTAATTTATCCTTTTCTCTTTCTTTTTTTTTTTCCTTTTTTTTTTTCTAAAATAAAAATAAAGCTCAGTCCCATCTGTGTTATTAAAAAAAGTACTGGGTATTTTCTCTCTTTTGAGTATAGATTTTCTTAGGAGGTGAGCAGATGGTCCTAAACAAGATATATGTTCAAAGCTCTTTATTTTCAATTTTCAATAAAGAGAACAGAGGTACAATTAGAAATGCAGTCCCACTTTAAATTAGATTTCCATTTATAAATTCTTAACATAAGGGGAACATTTATTAATAAATGATTTAATTAAAATGTTGTAATAGATCACTACAAACTACAGTAAAAGCTTATGAGAAGGTACAAACTGAGAGGGCTAATTAGCACCAGTAATATTTATATTAATACAGCATGTTTATAACATGCTTTACAATTTATTAATTCTTTCTAAACCATTTATAAATGATTATCATGCAGTATGATTGGCCAGTTAAGGCTGTTTAACATCACCTTCCTTGTGTGCTGGAAGGAAGAAGAAGAGGTGTGTTATCAACACCTGCAGTCAAAAATCACTGCGTGCTTTTTGTAAGGGCTTCATCTTCCCAAAGAGAATTACTATGAGTAGAACTTCTGACATAAGCAGAAGTATGTTGAGACGTTAAGGTTGGTATTGTTTGGACAGTTGGGACTGTAAGACAGAATAGCATTAGAAGTAGTCTATTCTTACTCAGCACCAGGAAGCAAGGAACTACAGTTTGCATTTTTTGGACACCCAAGAACAGAAGTGATGAAATGTAATACACAGTGCCTGAATGTTCACTACTGCTTATTAATTTGGGTAGTTTTCAGGGGTTTCATACCCCAAACTGCACTTTACAATTTTTTGTTTTTACTTGAGTGATCAAGCAAAGAGGAGTATCAAATGCCACCCAACTTATGCTTTAAACAAACAAAAATTGGCCGGATATTTTGGCTATACCTTACAAAACTATGCACAGAATCAAACCAACTCAAAATTTTGAAGGCATTTCACCCAGGGGCACAAGTCAGATGCATTACTGCACGCTGCATGCATGCTGCAGGCTCTCCTTCTTGGAAGCATGGCTCCAGCTTGACCAGCTAAAAGACTGTATTCAGCATCCTAGTAAAACTGTGCTATGAAAGCAAGTTCTGCTGGGACTGCAACAAGGTACCAAACTCACTTTTTATTGTAGGAAAAATTTCTGTGAGGTGGTTATTCAAAGATGAAACAAATGCCAAATCTGACCCAAATGTTTAATGCTGGCTGCAAAGCCTATGCACTTTATTGGTGTATACTAGGTGATGCACTGTTCAAAGCACTTGAAAATTACTCTGAGTGAAGGGCTATGTAGAGGTGCTCTGCACTGTGCTATATGTGTACTGTGGTTAGCAGATCAGCTGCTTTTTCTTCCTTCTTGTGCTTACACCTCAACAGTGTCAGGCTTCAGCCCTGGGTTCTTAGAGCTCACAAGAAACGGCAGTTCTCTTAAACCAGCTGGAAATTGGATTCCAGCTCCTTGGATTTACCAGTAAGAGACCAACTGATCTAACACAAATTGGGCCTTACGTTGTAGCAGCTGACTAAAATGAGTAAAAACATGCTTTAAAACAAAGGTCCTTGCAATTGAAGTATCAAATAGATTGAATAAGGTATAAAGGCATCGCATATATGAGCTACAGCCCGCACATGCTCATTTCTTTTCAGTGCTTGGCCTCTTTCTTTCATAGCTCAGATGTCTCCTGCTTATTGTCTGTCTTTGAGATGGGAGGAATAGCCCACGATGATTTCAGTACCCACCATATGTTTAGAGTGCTCTCTGTGGCTGCCACTACCTAGAACTTGCGTCTAGATCCCTAAAGATGGATTTATTTATTTTCATTTCCTCCCTCCATGTTTGACAAACCAATTGTGTCACTATTGATGGGACTTGAGTCTCCTCTTGGGTCCCTAATGTGGCAGTTGTGTTTGAGGGAATGCTCTTTTTTCAACAACTTTTTGATGGCTTCCATTGAGTTAATGCCCAAGCAGACAGCAGTGCAAAACACAGAGCAAAATGAGTCACACACAATGTTCATAGATTCCTAGATTGTTGCGTGCAGTAGTAAGCTATTGGAATAACTACAGATTTCATACTTCCAATGACATTTAATGCTTGCAGAGTAACCTCTGAGGAGTTTACTCACTAATAGATATCTCCTGTTAAATATGCTTAGTGTGTAGCCATAAGAATGTAAGATGATTTCATATTTTTCTCCTTTTTCCACATGTAACATCATCCAGGGTCTGCCATACTAATGTGCTGCCTGTACAGCTTCATACCTTTATTTTCTGGTGAGGGGGATACAGATGTAAATTCTCTCTGTTCTCATTGCAGCATTTCAGCATAATGCACCTTTTTCATTACTTTCTTTTGGCCCTGTCCCAGTTCTGTCCACCTGACTCTGAGATACAGGAGCAGTGCGTTTGTTTGTTTGTTTGTTTGTTTTAAAATGAATTCCAGCATTTCCTAGCTAGGGTGATCTCGATGGGAGGAAAAATCTCTCATTTTTGCTTGTTGGCATTTTTGTACTGGAGTATAGAAACTGCTGCTGTTCTGAGTTCTTATAGCCAGCTTGGAAACTGTGTCACATTTGTAAAGGTAAATTCTGCAGGATTTATTAAATTGCAGAAGATGCAAGGAAGAAATTCTCAGTTTGGCTGTTATATTCCATATCAACATGTTCTTGTAAAAGGGAAAAGTTTTGATAATGTACAACTCTCTTTTCACCCCAGCACTTAAAATTAACCCAGGGTTCTTTAAGCTCTTCCTACTGCTCCTCTATACAATTTCCAGTGTGGACAAACTAAGATTTGCTATAAGACCTAAGACCTACGTCTTATATATTTTTGCATGTAAATCAGCAACAGAAATAAAATTTGTTTGATAGCAATCATGTGGATAGTAAATGCATTTCTAGGAGGATATCACACTAACTCTCTCTTCTGTCCCCTACCTCAGGCTCCTAGGCTGGATGAAAACACAGTACACAACAACTCTTTTTTCAAATATTGCTTCCAATAAGGAACTGGGAGTTGGGAGGGCGGGACTGCCGTGTTTTGTCCTCCATGTGTGTGATCATTTTTGTAAAAAAATAGAAGGCAGTGGGGTTGGGAGGGGAGAATTCAGGACTTGGAAACATCTGATTGCAAAGAGGAAATAGCAGATTGGAACTTTTAATCAAGTATCCTGGAATTCAGGTGAGTGTCAGAGAGGACTTTCCCACCATAATTAAATATTGGTGGGAACATCTCCTAGTGGTGGTTAAACTCCTAAACAGGTGTTTAACTGCATCTTTGGGCACCTAAATGCCTCACAAATCTTGTGCAAGGTAATTTATAGGCTTGTCTTGTAATTTATGGTTTGGAATAAGCTTTTGCTGATGACTCATACAAGGAAGATTTTAACCAAACTTCCCATATGCACGACACATCTGCGTTGCACTCAGCTATTTCAGTTATAGAACAGGCACACAAAATGGCCTATTGAAAGCAGAGCAGACAGTTCTCCCTTTAAAGCTACTTTGCATAAACCTTTATGAGCACCTCATATTATGATGGTGCAAATTTATGTTCAATTAAGTGCCAAGACTGAGCTTCTAGATTTTGTCTGCCATACTGTCATGGGCAGACTGTGGCAGGGTACAAGGAGGGAGATTCTGCGTAAATGAGTGCCCCAGTTTTTCATGGTGCAAATTTAGATTTAATTTGGAAAAAAAAGAAGAAAAAAAAAAAGCATGCCAAGTCTGGGCTTCTGCATTTTACCTACCTGTGATGGACAAACTGGAAAGAGATAGAAGGAAAACCATGCAGAGGATAAAGAGAGAATAAGATCTACCACTGTGTTCAGTGTTAACTTACTCTTTCTCTGGAACAGCCTCCTGTTATGCAGTTTACATATTTTTTAGCAATTTTAATACTCAAATTTATTTAGGAATGTATTTCTAGGAGTCCATTTCAGAAACAGATATTTTGATTCTTCTAAAACAGATTTAAAAGTTTGGTAATCAGAGACAATTAATGGCCTAAATTTCTTTTATATTCCCTTATGTACAAGTTGATACTAACCGACCCATATCAATTCTAAGTACATGTATATACACATGCACACATGTAATCAGCTTTACAAGCATCTACAAGATTTTACCTTTTCACATACATTACTTGAAGGCAAATAATTGCTTTCATTGCTCTTAGTATAGGTGAAACATTGGTAGACAGACTAAATTGGCATGTTGCTTGGCAGTTGTTGACCAGCTAGGTTCTTAGCCAAGTTCTCTGCTGTAAGATGTTTCAGTCTTCAAGTCAACTTTCTTTTGTTTAAAGCTATCTCTGGGGCTTACTCAGTTTGAGTCATATGGAAGTTTTTCTCATGATGGGCAGCTCTCCTTCTGGAAAGTTGTTCTGCCGAAATGTTTGTTTATTTGGCCTGTGCCTTTTCAGCATGTTTTAATATAGCACATTCATATGTTTTGTTGTCTACAGCACACAGTTTCATTAGATGGCCTTTGCTGGAGAGCATAAGAGCATTACAGCGCAGGTGGCCTTGTCAGCAAGTAAAGCAGTTGATTCTCTATTGATTGGCTTTTTTTTTGGAGGACACCTGGGCAGTTATCCTGCCATTGGTGAAGTTATCAATAACAGCAGAACTAGTTATTCATAAACAAAACCTGGCTTGTTTAATGCAACAGAAGTAAATCTTACTGGGGAACAGAGCAGTGAAATCCATCAGTGAGGAGTTGGGGAAGCTTGAGAGAGTGTGAACTTTGATTTCAATGGGGGAAAGTCACTGCATAGGTAACAATTATGTATCTTGGTCCCAAAGGCTTGCTTTTTTCCTTAATATGTGGAGGAACTCCCTTCCTTTTTGCCTTATGCACACAGTGGCTTCCTATGTTCTTTGTGACAGAGCATCTCATTATGTGACCCCCAGCACTGTGTAGGAGAGAGTCCTCAGCACCAGCATGCATCTTGACGGTCCTTTTTGAAAAAAGAAGGTAGCAACTCCTGTAATGAGAAGGGATTATAGCTTCCTCCTTGAGCAAGCAGCATTTCTTAGAGTTTTGCTGTGAGAGTGGGACAGTAATGAGAGGAAAGAGTCATGCTTTTCCAGTGACAGTCTCCTTCCTTCTCCTCACATCATGCCTGTGCCTGCAGTGGCTGGTGTTCAGGGTTATTTCTTGTTTACATTTTCTGAGGGCCTTTTTCTTGTTGTGTCCATTCAGGTCTCGGTCAATCAGCGGCGCTTCATCTGGGCTCTCCACCAGTCCTCTCAGCAGTCCAAGGGTAAGTGGTTCTGCTTCAAGATCCGTTGGTCCAGTTCACTCACACATGCTTGATGCTTTTCAACATCTGTTGCTGCAGAGCCATGGCTCTTAGCTGGGATGTTTTGGTTTTCCTTCGCAGCTTGTAAATTTTCATGAGTGGTGAGGGAAATGATGTCTACAAATCCAAGCTGAGAATTTTCCATACATTTTCCCTGCACTATTAGAGGTACCTCAGGGATCTCACTGTGCCCCTGTCCTTTTTCAATCTCAGAAGTGCATTAAATAACACTGTTATGACTAAACACTGCTATTTCCAGCTGAGGTCTGTATATGACATGATTTCAGACCATGTATCAGAAACTGTTTCACAGCTACTTTCAATCAAGCCACAGCAGAGCATCAAGCCATGCTGGCTACAATCAACTTAATTCAGTTTGCCACAGAGTAGCTTGGATTAGAAACTCAAACAAAATCATTTTCAGAAATTTGAGGAGCAGCAAATTTAAAGGGAGAGTAAAAAGTAAATTAATTGAGGGAATTGTCAATCCCCAGTAAGGTGTATACTATAAAGACAATCAGGTTTAAGTTTACAGGCTAGTAAAGCTTCCAACTCCTCGCTTGATTGTTTTCTGAAACATATTCTAGGTTCCCCTGTTTTGCAACTGACTGCAAATATGTTTGCAGTCTTGCTTGTCTTTAGTGTACCAGGAACCAGTGAAGATCCATTTCCTTTCTTTCCTTGTTTCTGTACCTCTTGAATGGCAGTGGGATAAAGCAGATATCTGAGAATTCTCATACCACTGCAGAATGTACTGAGAAAGAGCATAAAATAAGCATCCAGAGCTGCAAACCTTAGACCCGATCTTTAATTGATCTCTTGGGATCAATTTCTGACATCTCAGTAGGACTACATCAAAGAATAAGGATGACAAGATCTGTTCCATAGTTGCTGTATCTTAACATTATTACTTAATAGGCAGTTGATTAAATAGTCTTCAAAGGGATTTAGCAGCCAGATGGCATTTTCCACAGTTCATAACCATTTTAAGGTAGGTCAGATTTGTGGCTTAGAAGGTAATGTTGGAATAAAAAAATTTTTAAAGTCCTTACCTATGTTCTAATAGCATCTTAGATTATTGAAAGGAGAATATACTTTAAAAATCAAATGCACATTTCACTGTATGCACTGCTTAGGTAAAGTTCTATGAGAAATTGAATTCAGTGGCAACTAAGGGTTGTTAAATCTCACAGGATCTTGCTAATGGCTTTCCCTATTGCACCGGCTGAAAGACAGACATGATCTCGTTCTTTGTTATGTTACTAGAAATGTGGTAATTAAGGGTGCCCATTCAGATTAGTAATGGCTTAAGTGGGAGTTTAATTTGACTTGTTGCTTTCAAATTTGTTTCTCAAATAGTCATGCACAAATGATTTAAAAATTGCACGGAAATGTTTGCAATCAACAGTTTTTGACTTTTATCATTTGAAGTCATTTGCAAATGATTAGTAGTCAGATGCTGGTAGTGACTTTCATAAATTGAGCACTTTCTTCATCTTTTCCCTTTTCCTTCTTGTTAGTGATCAGTATGAACCAAAATGTCAAACTTAATTTTAACTTTACAACTCTAACAGTAATACAAACTTTTTGATGCAGTGATTTTCTTTTAATTTTAATGGCCTAACCCTAAGTTCTTCAAGTAGAAAGCTCTGATGGAAACAATTTTAAACATCACTTTAAATACATCTCAGCAAGTTAGAAACAGGGCAGCATTGTGTTAATCCATCAAACCCAGAAAGTGAACTCAGTACTGCTGCTTGTGCTTACCTGACATGTGGGACAGTGGCATGTCTGGATGTTGCCTGACTAGAGCTTCTAAATATTCAGAATGGATAATAATAGTAGTAATGAAGATGATGAATGTTTCATGATAGTTAATAATTTGTAAAAAATCAGAACATGAATGCAGACCAAAGGTAAAGAGCTTGAGTGATAATGTCTATTTTTAAAAGTCTGCCAGTACTTGCAGTCTGAGGTGTTAACAGCAATACTTTGTAAGGATGTTCATTTTGTTTTAAAAGTGACTTTTACGTGCAACTGTGCCTTGAAAAGGCTTCTGTCTTCTCAAGTCTGTGTACTGCTGTTCGCTGGTTCCATATGAACAGTTTCCCAAAATGCCTGTTACATGTTTAGATGTTATTGTTTGGGGAAAAAAAAAAGTCATAATCCCATGTTTGATAACTCAATGCTGGATTATGAACTTTGTCTTTTTCTTTTTCTTTTTTTACGCTGTATCTTACAAACAATGGTTCTCCCCATACCCTTTCACAGAATTGGGACTTAATGTCAAAGACTGCTGTAACTGTATGACAGAAATCTTAATTATCAAGCTGTCTTTGACAGCATGAGGGATGTTGCAGGAGAAGCATTAAGACTGATGGGAAATATCATCTCTTCCCAGATAAATGAATTTTCCAGGCCTTTCTGAAATTTTTGCTATAGCTATTCACAAATTAAGCACCGAGTTGAGGTCACGTTTTCCTCTTGGCGCTATGTGCTATGAAACCCCGAGCGGATGCTGAGCAGCTTAACCATCCAGGCCAGGGGAGGAGGCCAGATGCCAACATGGCATCACTCTCCCTTAACTCCCTCCTTCTGCAAGGATGGCTGCAGCTGATGTGTGCCTTAGCCAGAGTCAGGGGCAAAGAGGAGGGACAGAGGTTCTGACCGGTGTGTGCAGTAAGCTCTGTGTATCGGCTACCACTCCGTATGTATCACACACCTGTTTTGAGTTCCATTTCTCCACTAGGTTTGCACACGGGCACTTTGAGCTGAAAGAGTTGGTCCCATTCTTGGCATATCTCAATTTGTGTGTGGCTTCAGTGATTCTTCTTCCCCTTCCTCACCTCCCTAAGCATTGTGCTTCTCTCACTGCAGGGCGATCAGAACAATCCCAGAGAGATGACATTTCTCTCTTCTTTTTTTCTTGATTACTTTCTTTCATTTTGTTTTTTACTTTTCCTTTGTTTTACTTTTCTTTCTGTTGTTTTCCTTTGCTGACACGTGGTTGGTTAATATGATGAAGCCTGTTATGACACTGTTGTTCTTGCTGCTGCCGCTGCTGCTGTTGTTGATGATGCCGTGTTCCCAGCTAACTGCATGTCTTTTTTTGTTTTTTGTTTGTTTGTTCGTTTTTGTTTCTTTGCAAAATCCCTCCCCCACTACCCCTTCACCTCCATCTCTTGTGTCCCCTTGTGACATGATGCATCTTTGTGACTCGGATGGATTTTATTCTGACTTTCCTTTCTCTGCTCGCCCGCTCTATGCGTATTTCACTGTTTTTGATGTGCATGGACACTCCGTGTCTGTCTCGTAGCCTATCAGAAAGTTCTTCATCCCCCCTCAGACCTCCGACCTCCCTTTCTCTCCCCGACCCCAAGTCTCCTTGGACCCTGATGCTTGTAGGAACGCCTCCAGGCCTGGACATGTACTCCAACCAAAGCCAGCACTTCAGCCCAACCCAAAGACGCAGACTTTGCCATCCAAGAGCAAATTGGCCGAAAAACCACTCCAGTCTACTAAATCCAACCCACTCCCTTCCAGCAATACCAGCGCGCCCTCTTCCCAGAACAGCCCTGTGCAGAATGCCCCGGGCCGCTCGCCTGCTGCCGGCTTTAACCCACAGCTGGCTGTTCCTAAATTGCAGACCAACCCTATGTCTCCTGTTAGATTACTCCCTTCTAGTACTGACCCAAGCACCAAATCTATCCCCATCATACAGGTCACCCCTCACCCCTCTCCAAGGGGAAGTCCCCTCCCTACCCCCAAGGGGACACCTGTCCATACGCCAAAGGAGAGCCCAGCAGGCACACCCAACCCAACACCACCATCCAGCCCCAGCATTGGAGGAATGCCATGGAGAACACGGCTCAACTCAATCAAGAATAGTTTCCTGGGGTCTCCTCGCTTCCATCGCCGGAAATTGCAAGGTGAGTACTCTCCGGATGTACAGGGTGGGTCTGATTTGGGCAGCCATTCAGCAGCAAGTGATACTTCTCTTTGGCTCTCAAAAATTTCATGTGCCGAGAACTGAGTACTGATACAGCAAATGAAAGTGATAGCATCAAGCAGTGGTAGCCCGAAGTCTGTGTCAACAGGCTCTGTAAATCCACTGCACTTGCTCCAACAGCGTCTCCTGAGCCCTCTTTGCACTCGAGTAGTACAGACCTTAATATCATTGACATGGTTCTTAGAACCAAGGAACATTTTATCTTCAGATCATCACTTATTTTGCCAGCAAATCTAGAGCTATGGTATTTCACTATGCCTGTACTCTGCTGCCTCTTTGCAGCCGTGGGCTGAGCTTTCTGCTGAAAAAAAGACAGCCAGTGACAATAGGCTGAAATTGTTCTTTTGATGTACAGTTTGTTTGATCTTGGTTAGTGCTTTTTTTACCACCTCGGGTAATTGGTGTAAAAACTGCCTTAATACAATCAGCGTTTTCATTTCCAGTGGCTGCTTTAGTTTTGAGAGTCTCTAGAGTGTTGAGATCAACAAAATTGTTTTCTTCAATCTCCACATAGCTTTTTGCATTCAGGAAAAGGGCACCCAAAGTCACATACATTGTCCTCGGATATAATCAGCAGCCATCCCAGTGCCAGGATCCTTTGGAAAGCAGGATATAGCCACGAAAGGGTTAGGTTTTGGGCTGTGATTGTCAGGGGCATTGTCCCTGAGGTGGCCAGAGAACTGCTGAGAATTGCAGCAGTGACTGAGTTTCAGCCAGATGGACTTGGAAGCAAATGGCCTGGTGTGGGAAATTTGTATATTTACATTGTCTTCTGAAAATTCCACAGGGATTCCTCATATTTTCAGTGACTAAAGGAAACTTTGCATAAAACCCCGTTGCATAAAGTGTGAGAATTGGCTCATGAAACAATAGTAAACAAGTTTTAAGGCAATCGGATTGGCATATGTTTGGGATTTTCTAGTGATGTAAGAAGTAGCAGAACATGCCTTGAAATGCATCACTTGATTAGATACAATAATCTAGAGGCACATGACCAATTTTAAATGTCAGAAGTTGCCTGCAGAGGCAATGGATGAATGAAAGAGTAGTGCAATGTCACGATTTTTTCACTGTTATCAAACCAGAAAAAAAAGAAGGTGTGCTGATTCATTGATTTCTTTTCTCCCTTCCTCTCTTTGGCTGTGTGTGCATGGGCAGTACCTACACCAGAGGAAATGTCCAATTTAACCCCAGAATCATCCCCAGAGTAAGTATTTTACCAATACTCTACTTCTTTTCCACCACCTGCCAACGTCACTTCCTAGCCTGAATGTCATAGGGTGACTGTTTCTGTTCTGAATCAGTACCTGACTGCAGCCTGTTATATGACAAGTGGGACTGAGATGTCAAAATAATCCCTCTGCTAAGGGCCTGAGATAAAGTCAGTACCTCAGTAATGGCTGTGGGGTCAGCTGGTGATGAAACTGTCTCATAGTGACCACCTCATTTTTACTCGTGGCTTGCTGAGTTTAGTAGTCTTGGAACATCTTCTCATTCTCTTCTTTCATTTGGTTCTCAAGCACATCACTCTTGGGGATAGTCAATGGCTTATACTGGCACTAACTATGCAGCAGAGGGTCTTTCTCTTAGCACATGTAAGTTTGAATCCTCAGGATAGCATGCAGAAGCCTCTGCTCAGATGATTTAGAGGAATCTTTGGCTGGGATAGTAAGTGCAGTGTTAATTCTGGACAGCAACTCTGGGAAGTGGAGAAGCTGCTTCATATTCACCAGACTTATTCCTGAAAGTCCGTGTACATTTCAACCATTTAATGGCACAGCTGTGCGTCACTGCATGGCAGGTTTGGAAGTCCTTGCCAGAGAGTGCTGCTCCAAACACTTCCGAATATATGCAACAGATGCCAAATTATTCCTTTTTATTTTCACAGCTTGTGTTTGTGCACCCAATACCCATAGGCCTTCCCTGCCAACCAAGGCAATTTGGCCTTTCATCAAAATACTTGTGTGAAATATTCATGAGTCGTAGATGAAAATTGCAGGCCCAAAGTTTTGTAATTGGTGATAATGGTACTTTCCCCAGACCTGGCATGATGTAGTATGTGCAGTCTATTTCTAATGGTGCAGAATGGGCAGTGATAAAGACTACAGGAGAAGGAGAAGTAAGGAACAGTAAAGTTTCTTTTACTAAAGAAATTCAGGAAGAAAAAATTGAATGAATTGTATTTTCAACATTTTGGACCATGTACTAATGGAGAGGCATGAGAGAAGTTCACAACATTAACACATCCTGACAGAATAAATACATTATATTCTCAATTATTTTTAAGGCTTTTAAAGCAAAAAAAAAACCCACTGAATTAGGTTTCTTCCCTTTGTATCCTCTTGTCTCACCTTTATGCATGTATGTTGGTTGAAGTTCTGTGAATTTATTGCCTTCTCTGCTTCCTACTCACCCTTTGAAAACTGGTGAATGAAACAGTGCCTATCATTTGAGGCAGTTTGGATGCAAGTCAAAGCCTAGGGCCCTTTTTTCTTTTTCTGTATAATTGCCAAATTAATGAGTTCAATTGGGCTGCACCCTCCGGTAAACATAATAAAAGTCATAAAAAATAATGAGCTGGATTTTATTTTAACAGTTGATATTTCATTGCTCAGTGCCCACTTCCACACGTCTTGGTGGTTTTTTTTCCTGCTATTCTTTTCCTTTCTGTAAGAAATAAGGTGTCCTTACCAAGAGCTCTATTGACCTCATGGATTGAGCAATAAAAATATATGTCCTTGATCTAGTACAGCATTCTTCAATGACTGCCACTCTTTTAACAAAACCTGGTGTTTAAATGATATGCTTTGACGTGTCTGGGTAGTGCTATTCTTTCTCATTTGAAAAAGTCCTAGAAAATGTGCTAGGGATGGCATTTAAAGAGACATAGCTCCAGCTGCTTTAGGCATGCAAAGCTCCAATTGCTTGCGTAGAAATGCTCTTATTTATGCCAAGCAGGTAGATTTACAGAGGTTGCAGATCCATGCAATCAGAGACAGAGAAGACAGTGAAGCATTGCAGTAACACACTGCAAAAGTAGAAAACAGAACATGACAGCAGTCAGAAATTTAGTGTGAAGTAATAAAGCACTTGCCTGTGTTTTCGTACTGATCTATTTGTTTTTTTCCCTCAACTGAACACCTGATTAGATTCCCAATGGACCCAGCCTCCCATGTATCTTCTGTCTTCCTCCCCATTAGGAGGCTTGCCATCACAAGAAATGGTTATTTTCACTGTTCAGAGCCTGATTTTGGAGGGTGCTAGAGCATCTCATTCAGATTGCTGAGCATCTTTGAATCATACCTGTTTTAATCCAAGTCAGAAGTACTTAGCACACCTCGAGAGGAGGAACACCCTTATTGTATGGTTTCACTCTGAAGTGGCTTCTTCTTCAGCAAACCTATTCTCTGTACAGAAGCACAGCTAGTTCTGCCATTGTCAAGGAGAAACGTGAGTGCACGTGTGCTCTGTCTTGATCCAGTTCATTCCAGAAAGAGGAGAGACCACTGGCATCTATTCTGTCTCATGTGACTTGAGCAAAATTATGTATTGAATTCTAGTGATTTGCAAGCTGGATCATAGCCCAGGCTATCAGGGAGTCTTCCAGAGTCAGTGTTAGTGGTGATAACCTTGCTGAAAAAGAGAGCACAGCTGCACTCTGCAGACTTCAGACCAAGTTTCCAAGCTGAACAGGAGAAAACTCCTTGTGTTCTGTGGCCCTCCTAACCTGCACTCATTAAGAGACCTATAAATGAAGGCTCCACAAAACAATTAATAAAAATACAAATACGAAAAGTAGTATTTTAAGATGGCAGATGTGCAGTTAAATATTCATGCTTTTTTTCAAGTTCAGCTTCCAAGGAACATGTGTGACATACATTGGGCCCCTTGAGTCCTGACAGCCAAGCCCAGTTCACATTATGATAGATCCCAGCCTAAAACAACCAGACATTTTAGATAGATAACCAGGTGCAAATTTACTAATGAGCATAGACCCCTTACATGCAGGGAGCTATTGCCCCAGCTCTCTGGGGGCTTGCAGAGTTGTTATGGTACGTGTGAGACACATGAGCTAATTAGTATGTAATTTCCTTTCACACTCTAACCCTGGCTCCTTAACGACCCATTTAAATGAGAGCCCCTTTCTCTTTACTGCTCTCCATGCTAATCTTTGGCTCACTGGTTTAGTTACAGCTGCCTCTGAATATTTTAGGGAGTGACTTTTCCAGCCCACTTTAATTGAGTGGGGGGCAGTGATTTACTAAATTGCAAATGAATCCTTTTGTACTCTTACCTCTATAATGGGTGGACACAAATGAGTATTTGCACAGCTGAGGTGCTGTGTTTCCATGCTCCTCTCTTGCTTCATCTCTGCCCTTCCTCATTCTGTGTCTTTGCTGCCAGGAAGGGGTTCTCCTAATAGTTAGCTGTTCAGCACTTTGTTGGGGTGCACAGCAGTCCTTTGTGCAGATGGCTTTCCTTTACTGCAGTAGCTGGTCTGTAGATTGTCTTGTTCTGTTGAGTGGTGAACATCCCCTGGAAGTGAAAGCCTAATTGTTTGCCATGGCATCATAAAATATCCAGTGGAGTGAAAAACTTGTTCATGGCAGGTCTTTTCATCTCTGGCTTTTTCATGCTAAATTTTTCTTTGCTAGAATATGATCCCACATGACAGTGGGATTGAATGCACCTTCAGCAAGTTTGCAGATGGCACCAAGCTGAGTGGTGCAGTTGACATGTTAGAGGGATGGGATGCTATCCAGAGGGACTGGGACAGGCTTGAGAGGTGAGTCCAGCCAACCTCATGAAGTTCAGTAAGACCAAGGGCAAAATCCTGCACCTGGGTCAGGGCAATCTCAAGCACGGATGCAGGTTGGGCAGACAATAGCTTGAGAGTAGCCTTGAGAGAAGGGTTTGGGCACAGCAATTGAAAGATTCAGCATGAGCCAGCAATGTGCGCTTGCAGCCCAAAAGGCCAACCATATCCTGGGTTGCATCAAGAGAAGTATGACCAGCAGGTTGAGGGAGGTGGTTCTCATGTCTGATGGCATCTTCCTTCCCCTCAAAGCCTTTACTCTCAGAGGTACTACCTCCAAGTTCTGAGTAGTTTCCCCCCTGTAATATACATGCCCCATTTTTCCTTTAGCTGATTTAACTTAAAAGTGAGTTTCAACAAAGTGCATCAAGAAGATGGAACAATAAGCAAAATCAAACATTTGCTATTATGATCAGTGTGAAAAACAGAAGAACTGGATTTTATGGTGATACCTCCATCTGATGCTGAAAGAAACGATGGAGTTGGACTGCTGTCCGTGGAAAGCCCGCACTGTGTTTTGTGAGGTGCTGAGATCTTTGTTAGTACTGGAAGTTCGTTCCTTTGTAAGAAAGCCGGAGTTTGTTCCTTATTGAACTCTTGCTGAATGGGTCTGATGAATGAAAAAGTCTTTGTCGTGGCTCTATGGGTAGCAGTGGGTTTCATTTGCAGGCAGATTGAAGGGCCAATGAAACCTTGAGCTTGCTTTAAAAAGTGACTGTCAGTCCAAGAAGACACATTTGGGAATGGAGCTTTCCAAGTCTAGAAACAGCAAAGGGGCTGAAATGGGCAGGAGTAGACTTAAACTGCTGTGCTGACAACACCCACTATTGTCACAAAAATTGAGATTCCTGGAGACATCTCAGAAACATGTCCCCAGCTTTGCAAAGTCGGCACCAAAAGCAATGCCTTCTATGTTATTATGTCGGCCCACGACGTCAGAGGCAGATGTTAGTGGTATGGCAATAGAGGTTGAACCTTCCCACCAATATTCAGTTACATTTTGTTGCTGTGCAATAAATGGCAGCAGAGGGGCAGTCAGATGGAATGGCATCTGATATGGAAGTGCAAATGAAGAAGTGGGATGCCACTGAATTCCTCCATGTGGAAAAAAGTGACATCCATTAACATTTACTGATGTTTGCTGAACATTTATGGAGGCCAACCAGTGGAAGAGAGCAGTAAGGTGATGGTGATGTGTTTCAGCAGCGGTGACAACAATAGTGGGGTACCTGATTCAGATTTTTCTGAATTTTCTGAAGTGCAACACGCAGGCTCCTGTTCATAGGTAGTGAAAATGCAGAGCTAATGGTGGTGACTGTGTTGAAAAATAATGTTTTGCAGCTGAGAATTTGCTCTATCACATAGTGTTGTTATGCTTTTTCTATCTGTTGTAGTTTCCATGGAATTAAATAGGAGGCATTGCTTTTAGAGAGACCTATGTGTATGAATTATGTACATGGCATATTAATTAGTGTATTGGCTTTATATAAAAGTTACCATTGCTGCTGTTCTTTTCATGGCTGATCACACATCTTGCAAGAGTTAACAAGATGGGGACTGTTACTTAAACAGTTTTCACTAAGTAAGTGGGGTATTCATAGACTCTTTGAGCTACCTGTTGTAGTAAAACCACAACTGGAGCATTACCAATAATTTCTTGTGCAGTTTGTAAGTATTTTTTTTTCTATTTGGAAGGTATCTAAGAACCAGTGCTCAATATTCTAAATCATCTCTTTCTTTTTCATTATGTCAGGCTTGCCAAAAAATCCTGGTTTGGTAACTTCATTAATCTGGAGAAAGAAGAACAGATTTTTGTGGTCATTAAGGACAAACCGCTAAGCTCCATTAAGGCTGATATTGTCCACGCTTTCCTGTCGGTAAGTCAGCCAAGCTGCCTGTTAGATGCATTGCTCACTGGTCAGATCTGGAACTCACTCTGCCATGTCTGGATGAGGTGCTACCAGTTGATGAGGAGCTACAAGATACGGTTTAGTAGCTTGTGGTAGCAATGGTACTGGGAGGATGGTTGGACTAGATGATCTTGCAGGTCCTTTCCAACCTTGTGATTCTGTGATTCTGTTTACTGGGCAGGGTTTCTTCTCCTTCAGGTTCATCCTCTGTGCATTTGATTTACGTATCGTGTTGATTCAGGCCTCCATTGTGTTCTGTCTAAATTTCTAATTGAAGAAAATATTCTGTGAGAAAAGATTTCAGCCTTCTGAAAGGTGAAGTCTCCAGGTTGGCAGTGGTTGGAATTTTAGTGCAGTAAGAGAACACTGGTAGTACAGTATCAAGACAGTGATTTGCTGCTTTGTCGCATTTCTCTTAAGGTCACCATCTATGCAAAAGTCTTGGCTTCTCTGGCTGTGCTCTCCACCACTTTAATCAGACAAAAACCTGTGCCATGTCTGCATTTATTACTTTAGATCTTCTCTTCTCAGGTTTATGACAGATAGAATGGTAATTTCCTCTGGTGACCAGAGTCTCAGTTGTTGGACATATTCCTTATTTACAATCCCGGATAATCTGCAGTTTTAGCAGAGGAAAATGGGTTTTTTGTTTGTTTTTTTTTCCAACGGAAAGTCCTTATTCTTACCATTTGCAAGATAAGGAAAAAGTCAGTACAATAAATTTAATTTGCAAGGTTTTTAAATTCAAGGATGTTTGAAGCATACTGGGACCTTATTTTCCAATGGAATTGAGAGTAGGCAGCTCAATTTCTTATCATAGATCTTATCATAGATTCTTATATAGTTTGTTGAATTGGTATTGTTTTCCAAAGAATATTACTCTCCTTTTTAGTCTTTATGATGCTGCAATGAATTTCTTCCCAAAACAAAAATTCAGTTCTTTTAACTGTTCATACACAGTGCTGGCATACAGGGAGTGTGTGCAGTATATATCAAACATTCTACCATCAAACAATCCATCTCAGGTTGGTTTGAAGCAGCGATGTTCCTGTACTGGTTTCATGCTTTTAGCTGTGCTTGTGGGTTTAGCATAGTGTGCACCACTGTTTATACTGGTGATCCTGTGCATACCTGCACATCTGTGGGGTGAGATGCAATGCGGTATGCAAACTCTATGAATCATCTCTACAGATAACTTCTGATTAAACATATTGTCATAGCCTGATAAGTAAGTCCTTAAGGACACCTTGAAGAACTCATCTCTCATAATGCTTCCTAAATTAGAAGCCAGATTTCCGAATGGTTTGGGAAATCTTTTGAAAATTTTGTCCTTTGAGAAGCAATAAATAAAATATGAGAGTAAGTTAAATTCTGGCAATATCTGTTATTATTGACTGCCTGAAAATTAGTGAGTTGTGAAATCCTACTGTAGGTCTGAGGATACTGGATTACACCAGAAAGCTTCTCAAAATTGTTTTATGTATTGATAGGAATGGTGGTTTGGGTAAGTACACATATTGTCCCTGTGGATATTCCAGACACTTGTCTATGTGTCTGCTACTTGTCCTGATGTCTCTTTAGCATAGAATCACAAATTCAAGTCCAGAAGAAAAAACAAATCTTACAAATTTTGCAGTTGTTTCCTTTGCGCACTGTACCGTCTTCTACCAACCTGTTTCAGATTCCAAGCCTCAGTCACAGTGTCATCTCACAGACAAGTTTCCGTGCAGAGTACAAGTCCACAGGAGGTCCTGCTGTCTTCCAGAAGCCGGTTAAGTTCCAGGTGGACATAACATACACAGAAGGGGGAGAAGCGCAGAAGGAAAACGGGATCTATTCTGTCACTTTCACACTCTTATCAGGTAACCATGGCAAAGCTGCAACATGGGTGCAAGTTGTCTTTGGCCTTGCTGATATAGAGGCCTGTAAAGATATTTCTGCTAGAGCAAAGGGTATTTCTGCTTGACCTCAAAGGAAGGTTCTAACAGTGGGCAAAAGGAGGATATTGGGATCAAGAATGGCATTGGTAGTAATGGAAATGGTGGGAGGGCAAAACATTCCCTTGAGGTGAAGTTGCCACCACCATAATTAATACTGCATAACTAATGCTGCTCTGTTCATCGGATTTGAAATACTTCCCTATGCTACATCCTTGCTTTACTCAAAGGTCTCAGCATCTCGCTTGGTCTCTGTAGGCCAATGATTTCTCCCTTCTCACAGAAATATGTGATCTCTCTTTTTTTTGCTGGCTCATCACATGCCACGCACAAAGTTTAAATTAAAATAAGAAGAAAAAAATGTCCCCAGTCTTTTCTATCTTTACAAAATAAGCCATCTTTCCTTTTGCTGAGTCCAACATGGTGAAGCTTGTATTTATATTGGGATTTTATAATAGTTCCTCAAAGTTGTGCATTTAGGTGAAGCATAGCTATGCTGTATGTACACTTACAGGGATGAGACGGAAGGGAAGATGTTTGTGACCCTTTCCCTCCAGCCTGTGTTACATGAGGATTCAGTTCGCACTCCTCTCACAGCCATTTGTGCCTCTTCTCTCCTTACAGGTCCAAGCCGTCGTTTTAAGAGGGTAGTAGAAACCATTCAGGCACAGTTGTTAAGCACACATGACCAGCCTTCAGTGCAGCAATTATCAGGTAAGTAGTTTCTGCTGTTGAGCACCTTGCTTCAGAAAGGACAGGAAGACAAAGTGCCTCTCAGTACCAGGAGGCTGAGGGAGGCCACCCCTCTGATTACAGCAAGAACCAAGCTCCATTCAGACAGAGCAGTAATTTCCTGCACCCACCTTCCCCCTCCCTCTCATCCCCACTCCCAGCTCCCAGCGCATTCCCCAGTTGAACAGCTTTTGCCCTCCTCCCGCCCAAAGAGCCATTTGCCCACTTCTCCATCAAAGGCTGCATTATCAGTTGATATTCCAGATATTCTCAGGTTCCATAAGTTCCCAGAACAGGGACACAGTCTGGAAGATATCCAGTTTTCAATCTCTTCAGGCATGCATTAGAAACCTCCAACTGTAGAAGGTTGCAGAAGAAAGTTAAGTGCTGCTTTTAAGTAGCCATTAACTACAGTGTTTTCAGATGTTGGAAGGTGGCTGATAGTTTCCAGTAGTGCAATCATTCCTGGCCCAGTACTGTGGTAGCACAAGTCGTATGCTAAGGTTCTGCAGAAACTATATTTTATTGATTTTTAAAATAAGTTCCAATTTGTCGTGGTGGTAAAGAAAGGCTTACAAGTATGGCCCTGTGCAGTGACATCAATCTGAATCTGCAGGCAGCCTGAGATGATAATACAGAAACTGGCCTCATCCCGTCGTTATTTAGCAAATGTTCACTCTGACAACCAGTGGTGACACTAGGAAAAAAGTCAGTGTTAGCTCTTCTATCCTTTAAGAAGACAGAACAAAGGAAGAAGGTGAAAATGGAAAATGTAAGGAAGCTCAGATATTGGAAATGCTTCAGGGAAGGAAAAGTAGGGAGAAACAGAAAGACCATAAAGATACAGGGGACAGATGGGAGCAAAGGAGAGAGTGGGGGCTGCAGGAAGAAGAGACAGCGGGAGTGGGAAGAGTTTTCCCATCATACGGGAAAAGGTAGTATGTACATATTCCTGAGAGCCAAGTGATGTGCTTTACCTTTGTGTGAACCAGCCAAGACAACATTGCAGAATGAAATCTGCATAGGATCATATAGTTAATTGTTAGGTCTCCTTGGCTCACTGCACATATGGGTTACATCCTTCTGGTCTAACAGTGTGGCTTTAAGCTGAAGAAAAAGTAACTCTGTCTAGAAGAGTGTGAGCTCACTATGTGACAGAAGAGTATGCTCAGCTCAGGAAAAATTATTTTCCACTTTACTTTTGCCTTCCAGCACTGTCTGACCTTCTGCATGCTGGATTGCAAGGGTGCCCAGCACATGGGTTATTCTGTTAGGAAACAGAAAAGGTGAGGATGTTAGAACCAAGGCTGACTCTGATTTTTGCTGTGTGAATTTCTGAAATAAAATAAAATTCAAGGAAGCAGACAGAATTTTCTACCAGCTTTTTCTCTTGGGAAATGCTGGGACCAAGTGAGAGTAAGGGTAATTAGCTGAGAAAAAAATGTATTCTCTATTTCACATTACCACTGGTGTGTGAACAGTGGTCAACCATTCCTTGTCTCTTTCAGAAAGAAGTGTGCCCTTACCCCCTATGAGGGAAAAGCTATTAAAAAAATTAAATGATGTGATCTTTCTTAAATTCTTTACCCTAGCATGTGCAAGCTACAGAGGCCATACAGAAAAACTTGGACTCTGTTGCACACTTACACATGAAGAAGGGTATCTCTATAAGAAAGTCATATTGTAGCACAAATAAAAACCATTCATCTGACTGAGGCTCAAGAGATATTTAACGCAAACTGTGCTGTGAGAAATGCATCCTACTTACAGTTTTGCTCTGATTCTGGAATGGAGAAATTATATTATAGACACAGAGTCTCCTTCTGTTGCCTAAAGCTACATTGGAGTAATTCATTCTCGCAGAGGAGATGCAGCCTGATCTTTAAAGCTGGGGAAAGTGCAACTCCACATGGAGTGTTAAGAACAAGAACTCTGTCATCCAGGTAGTTAGCTAGACAAGGCAGCTCACAAGAGATACGGCACCAGACTGTCCTGTATCTATCATCTATCCTGATCAGCAAGATGCATTTCTCTTGGAGAGAAATTATTTAACCTGAAAAACATAGTTTGGAGAAGAATCCAAGGGAAAGAGAGAAAGGAAGTGAGATTATTACTGTGGAAAAGACAGCCTGTGATTCCAAGTAGAGAGGTCCCATGATTCACATTCTCATCCAAAATGAAAGAGAAAATAAATGGATAAAGGAACTGCAAAGAGGTCATGTTTAGCACCTTGGGTGTACAACCACAAACTGGCTGGCTGTGGTTGGATAAGTCTGTGCAGGGCTTCCTAGAAATTGCCAAGTTATTGATCAGCATTTCTTACTCATGTAGAAGCAAGACAAATTCTTCTCCATTTCTCTTCTTCTCCCACATTCCCAGCCCTGAACATCTCACAGGAATTAAGGTGGCTGGAGTCCTATTCAGGTTCATGTTTTGAGGATGCCCTGTAGGCAGTCCCCCGCTGGAACAGAACAAGCTTATGGTTCACTTAGACTCTCCTCCTCCATGGCTTTGAGGACATTGCTGGCTCTGACCAGCAATGCTGACTAGTTTGCTCCCCTGCCAGTGCACTGGAGATTTTCATAGCTCACTGTGCACAGACGCATCTTCTGTGCAGTTGTCTCTCCTGCCTTTTGGATCAGGTACCTTTGCATGCAGGATGGTGAAAGCTACCTGTGAAAGCGTGCATGTAAGGTGAGATCTGCAAAAGGACAAGACCAATGAAAGCAGGGTGAAATAGAACAGCAAGGCCCAGTAAGCATATGGCACTGACAGTCATTCTCTCTCCTGCTCCTCTTTGATCTGTTATGCAGCATGCCAGCCCACTAAGCCGGCTTGCCTGGGTTTCAGAACGCACTTTCTCATTTCTTCCAGCTCACAACAGTGTTTGTAGATGTCATGTTGCCCATACATCTGTGTGTGTGTGTGTGTGTACACATACGTACCTGATTTAGGCAGATGTGTTTCTATGTCTCACTTGAGCACCCTGTAATCTCCCTTCCCCATGGATATCCCTGCATTCACTTCCATTTTCCCTTCCTAAAACTGTGCTTATTTCTTCTGACATATTCTGAAGCAGGAAAACAGCTTCCCTCCCTTGCTGGAATAAATGTGTAAAATAAATGCAATCCATTCCACGTGCTAATCTATTACTTTTTAAAGCCACTGTCCAGCGGCCAAATTTAGTACAACATGTCAGCCTTCTACCTTGATGCTTCAGGACATGAAATCTTTTGTGGCGTAAGTGCTGAAAGGGCCTGCAGACTTAAGATTGGCATGAAATAGGTAGACAGACACTCCATCCAGGAGCCCCGTACTCAGAATCTGCTCTGTAATCCCCAGGCAGGACTGCCCTTTGGAGGAATAAAGTGATCTCTTTGGAAGGAAAAAATCACTGGTTTTGGCCTTTGTTTCAGCCCAGTACACTTTCCATTAAATCGTAATTTGTTTTCCTCCACAACGCCTTTGCCCAAAAGTAATAGAAACAGCTGGTGAATGGGGGCACACAGAAGCCATCCGTGTTCATTCACAGGTTATCAATTTTTATTTTCTTAATATTTTCTTGCCTTTTTAGGCTTTGCTTTTAGGTGTGGGGTGCTGCTTATCCTAACTTTTAACTCATTTTCCCGTGTTTTAGGCAATCAGCAATGCTGCAATAGCCTTCATAACTTCTTTGTAGTAGGTTTTCTGTTTTATTGTATTTCTTGGCTTCATATCAGATTTTAACCATCAGCATTTCAATCAGAGCTTCTTGATATTACTGCTGAAAATGCCTTTCATCAACATAAGCGATTGTTTAGAGACCGCATCCAGTCTCAAAATAGGGCAGTGCAAATTCTTTCTGATGGCATGTATCTTCGGTATATATTCACCTGAGCTCTCTTACTGTCCTAGTGTATGTCTCAAAGAGAAAAAAAAAGCAGATGTTCACGTGATTCAAAAGCTTTGATGGAGATTTGTGCTTTCTGGGTGTTCATCTTTATGGCCCACAAGTGCTGTGGGCTGCCAGATAGCTACCAAAATAATTAGTAAGAAATGGTTTCCAAATGTGCAAAGGATTTTATTATCATCAAGACAGAAAAAAGGGAATATAAAAAGGCCAGTTTGGAACTGGACCACCATCAGTTTTATCTGGGGCTCATCCAGGTCCCAGCTTAATCTTGTTTTCTGCATTCCTTCATGCCTTCACCACTCTCATAGTCTGGGGCAGTGCTTTGTATTGCTGTCATAATTCCCACCTATAAAAGGCACTGTGCAATGCCTGATTGGTTTGGTAGAGCACTGGTTTCGCTATACAACTTCATTGTTATTATTTGACAGACCTCCCTACAATTAACTGGGTTGTCCTGAAATAAAGCGTGGAAAAAGAAATCCAAGCACTTCAGAGCTGTGATAGGAGAACTGTGCATTTCAAGTAGGCACCCAAACAGTAGGAAGTTCCAACCTCTGTGGTTGGAATCCTAGATTTCCTGGGCTGGGACAAGTCACCATTCCAGAGACATCAGAAGCATCACAATCCAGGCTGTTTGACTGTGAAATTTGTGAGGGATAGAAATACAAATTACAGGGGAAAAAAAAAAAAAAAAGAGAGAGAAAAAAAAAAAAGAAAATCAGGAAAGAAAATCTGTCAGAACGCTAGGGATTTTTAATGGATTCAGTGCTTCTTTGACCTTTTCATGTTCCAATAAGGAAGGTCTTATTTTAACCAAATCATTTGTCATCTGTTAATGAACTAAACTGAATGTCATTTATGGAAGAGACTTGGTAACAACTGACTGCCAGCAATTCCTATGAAACAAGGGATTGCCTTATCATCAGAAAGGTTGAGTTCTGCCACTGCCATTCTGCTTTAATTAAAAAATTAAACAACATACATTAAAAATGCCGTTACATGACCCATCAGTGCTTCTCAGGGAGCTAAATGCCTTTTTGGACCTTGATATTATTCTCCTCACATAACACCTTGATCCCACAGATACTGGGTTGTTACCCATGAGCAGAAGCCTGCTGCCAAGAATCTAAGGCTTTCTAATAAGGATGAAAATTCTGCTTTGAAATAGCAAATATTTTGTCATATAGAATACTTATTAAAGCAGATGTTATAAGATGATGGAAATTAAAGAAGTATTAAAGTCGTTATTATAAGAAGTAAGCTAAAGGCGTGTTAACTCTTAGTCTCTCAGGAGGTGTGGTAATAGCTGCTGCTTCTGGCATGCTCTTGTTTGCTCTTCTTTAGGAATGGGGAGAAAACAGCTGATCTTGTATTGGGAAGATATTACAAATAGAAATGGTAATGAGAAACAATCTTTTAGTAATACTTGAGAGTTTCCTTGCTTTTAATGTGTTTTTCTGTGCTCTTTCAAAGCATAGGTAGTGCTGACAGCTGGGCGACTGCTCTGAGCTCTACCATTATAGAGTTGTAGTTATTGCAGCTGGGTGTAGTTGACTCAGAGTTGGACAGGAAACAGCACAAGGCATCAGATGGCTAACTTCTCCAAGTTACTAAAGAAAAAAAACAATGCAAGCTTCTGATTGTGACTCCTTGTCATTGACTCAATCAGCAGCTCAATCAATTGACTCAATCAGTAGGCACTTCTTAAACCTGTTAGGCATCTTCAGGGAGGAGTGTTTTTTAGGAGTTTAATTTGCTTTCTACTCAGAACATGCAGTGACAGGTGAACTCCCCACCTATCAGACATCTTGTTCCGGATCCTGAATCCTGTCTTCTCCTTCACCTCCTGTTTTCCTTTGCTTCTTTTAGTCATGTGCCTTTCTGGGAACGCTTCCGTGGGTTTCATCTCCCATTCAGCGCTGCCAGCCTGCCTTCAGCCTTGGGGATGTAATGTCTCCTGAGATGCTTTTTGTACGTCACTGTGACCAGGCACCTGTGCTCTCTCCTCCTTGCATTCCCAGATGATAATATGAGTACAGGCCTAGTTCCTTCAGAAAACACATCCATGCTCTTCTAGCATGGATTCAGCATACCTAGGCATATCCAGCACCCCTTCCTCACCTTTTCAAATTACTTTTCTGTGGAAATGAATGCTGGAAGTGGACCTACCCTCTCTCGTGCAGACTGTTTAGCAGATAGAGAATAGTTAGATCTTCCTGGCAGACAGGGATTTGGGACATATGTGTGCATGTTTCTGAGAAACCTATTTCTTCCAATATCTGGGTGCTTATTTAAAAGTCAGGCAGAAGACCCAAAACTAAACTGAGTGAAGTAACTGGTACCTGCTGGCTCCTCAGCAACTGCCCAGCACTCAGAAACACAACAGTGAGGTCCCACTGTCAGGGCACCCTGACTGACAGTGACAGATCTTGCTTGCCTGCATGTTCTACAGGAAAGTGGCCAGCAGGACTAGTTCTCTGCATTAAAGCTTACACGTAGAGCTCCTTCTTGCTTATTCCACCTGAGTTAAAAGCATTCAGAGGCTGTGGCAATGGGAGCTGTGCACAAAGTGAACAATAATGTCCTAGATAGGTTCTGTTACCCTTTCTGGAAGTAATTTTGTTGCCTGTGAATGGTGCCATTGAAAGCAAGAAGATAAGAGACTACATGTGAATGATAGAGGCAGAATTGTGTTGAGGACTTGGGCACTGGGCTTCTAAAAGATGTTTTTGAGTTATGTAAGTAGCCACCTGTACATGTCCAGTAGCACAGTGCTGCATTCTCTCCCTCCCTCAAACCTTCAGTGTACATAGATCAGCTGGCTGGACATTGCCCGTGTGCTGCAGAATAATCTGCAAAGCTGTCCAGGGGAAAGAACGTATTTCTAGTCTTTTAGTTTGTTAGTGTAATGGCAGAATGCTTCCGACATCTCTTGAATACTCGTAGCTATGATAAAGATGTGGATGGAAGCAGCAGGACTGAGGCAAGCTCCACTCCCAGTCCTATGGCCAGGTGTGCACTGGCATAAAGTGGGTGGCAGAATTTGGCTTAGGTTGTGTAAAATCCAAGATATGTATGTTTCCTGCTTCAGGTAATAATGTGCTAAGTCACTACTTTATGCACAGAGGTATGGAAACCTTTTTTTTATGTTTTTCCCTCCCTCCCTCCTCTTTCCGTTCTATGATCTAGACACCACTAACTGTATGGAGTTGATGACTGGCAGACTTTCCAAATGTGGTAAGAACTTCCTTCCCTTCTGCCTTTTCTCCTTCCCCAGTCCCTGCTGAGCAACATAATAACGCACCGCCCTGTCCCTTCCACCTCTTCCCCTTCCTTATCCCTGCTCTCCCACGCTCTTTTCAAGACTACCCAACATGTAAAAGCCCACAGTGTCCTTCTCTTACCCGGCAGACACAAGCATATACCCCTTATTCTGTTCCTCCCCATCCATGCACAAGATGCACAGGCTCCACCACGGCTTTCCCCTTCATAGCACAAGTGTGTGGTGTTGCACTTCAGATTCCTTCCCTCACTGTCACCCAGACCAGTAATTTTCTGTTCTTTTTCCTTTTTTTTTTCCTTTTTTTTTTTTTTTTTTTGTTATTGTTGATGTTGTTGCTGCCTTTGATTCGTAATTCTTCAGTCCCTTTTCAGCAGTGAAGCTGAATGCTGCCCTGCTAGCTGCTGTCTCCCTTGGTTTCCTTTGATTTATTGAGATAGAATTGCTCTGTTATTTAATTCCCTTTTGCATCCACTCCCTTCTTTTCCATGTATGTTTAGGGTAAGGCCCTTTTAAATCTTCCATAAAATGCACTGCATATTATCTACCATTTAGCCAGACATTTAACTGTCATAGTACCAGTCTGGTCTTAGGGAACTGTGTTGTGTTTCTAGCTGGAGGACAGTGAACCTTTTGGAGATTCAGAATTTTGTTAGGAATGACAAAAAAAAAAAAAAAAAAAAGAGAGATTGAGAGAGAGAAAAGAAAAAAAGATGCAAAACTTGCATCTCAGCTTGCTTGGGGTTCCATGAATTTTGGTTAACTTGTCCCTTGCTCTCCTTCTGCTCTGTACACACATGAACTATTCTTTCCTTCCTTACCTGTGGCCTTACTGACTCCTTCAAATACAGTAGTGGAAATACCCAAATGCTAAAAGATTGGGTGTTTTGGGTTTTTTTGCTCTTACATCTTGTATGGAAAGGTTCTGTGCAAGAGAAATCTGTTCTCGTAGGACTTCCATTCTGGTAACTGGGTTGAATTCAGACATTTCTGTGCGAGGGAACACAAGCTGTTGAGGAAGTGATCACTGAGCTGGTACTGCTCTCCAGCTGGACCTGTGACTCCTGCGTCATCTCTTTGTAAACTGAGGGAAGTTCTTCTGGAGTCATTCCACAGTCAAGTTGTCACAGTGGAGATAATGTTAGGTTTATGCATGTGTGACTGAGAGCAGAAATTGTTCTGTATTTCATATGATTCCTTTTCCTTAAAGAGCAGATTTGATGATATTTTTTTTTCTCTGAGGAGAGCTCATACGATTTCTTATTTGAGTTTTCTGGTTTACTCTGTTTCTGATCTCTTCAAGAAGACTCATTTAACTTGTAGGGAGACCTCCAGCTTTGTCTTGGAGGTACCAGACAGCAAATCTCTCTTCTTCCTCAAGCCTTTCTTTCTTGCCCGGATCTGACATCCACATCATATGATAATACTGAAATGCTGATTGTGCTGATTGCTTGCAAGTTAATCAAGCTACACAGATAACCAGCCAGTCCTCTGCTCTCTCTAGATAGAGCATTACTGTTCATTCCCAGCTCAGGTCCTTCAGCTGCCACAGTGTCAACATCCGTCAGGGACAAAGACAACAAGGTGATGGCCAGAAGGGAGACTGTTTTGTGGCAGCTGCAGTCTGAACAGAAGATGTAGGTAGATCTAGAAAAGAGAAAGGAAGGGTCGTCAAGGTAATGGAGCTGCTTTCTTTGAATCAAATTGCTTTTGGTGTGTTCATAAAAAATGGAAGTAGTGATGACATTCACTGTGCTGAATACCACCCTCCTAAATATGTGAAGAGCTATTTCATGCACAAGAGAGCTCGTCCAACATTTAGTCAGGGGAGTAAAGGGGAATGAATTGGGATTTTGCCTAGTATTGGCAAACTGTCCTCTGTGACTTTGAGGACGGGCATAGTCCTGTGGAGTTGGCACAGTGTTCATATAGAGATGGCCAATAGAGTAAGAAAAACTATGCTGAGCGTTTTTGTGACGTTATCATTGTTCCACATTCTGAGAATGAACATAAAAGGGCATTTTTGCAAGAGTTAACACTGGAGCAGGAAGAGCAAATCAAAGGTTTTATGCCAGGCTTAACTATGTGAAAGCTGTGGTGGGAATGAGGAGTATCTCTTCACTCAATATAAACCACTGTAATTAGCAGCAAGGCAAATTTGTTTAGCCCTTTAAATATTAACTTGTCTTCTGTTAGCAGTCATCATCAGTCTGAGATGTGCTTTTGCATTTAGACATTAGCATTGAAAAGTAGTTCTTGTACAGCTGAGGTATGTCATAGGAGCTGCCACTGTTCAAATGCTGCCACTGTATCAGTTCTATCTGTGCACACTGGTAAACTGCTGCCAACTCCCAGTGTTTCACAAGAGAAGAAAATTGTTTGTCTCATGATCAAGTTGAAATGCACTCAGGGATGCAGTATTTTATTTTGTTTCCACCTGTTTCAGCAGGGGAAGGAGCATTTCTAGTGTCAGGAAGACTTAATGATTTTTGTGAAGTCTTTAATATCTGTGTATAAGAATAACTTTGCCTTATAATAGCCCTTTACATTTAAAATGAATCTGTAGCCTGAAAACTGCCTGTAGAAGTGATACCTTCTAGCTTAGCTGATCTTTCCCTTGTGTATTCAGAGCCAAATCAGTTTAGTGACAAATAAGCTTTACTACTTTATGTGCTTCCATTAAGCCTTATAAATTCAACATGGCTGTAAAAAGGTGAGCTAGATTTAGATTTTTTTGAGGCAGGATTGAGAGACCTCTTTACTATCATCTAATCTGGTATTTATGTCTACCTCATTGAAGAATGGATTGTATGATTAACACTGAGGTTCTAACAGGTGCTCAAACTACTAAGCTGTCAAGCTTTGTAGTTTGAGTGTGTTGGATCTGGAACCATTGATATATACCACACAGAAGCCCACAGTGCCATTTCACTAGTACTTGTTCAAAAAAGAGTCTGTCTTTATGAGCTTGGATGACTTTAAGGCCTTTAATAAGCGAGTTGAGAGTTTATTTGGATGGTTGAAACAGTAGTGAAGCTGTTTCATAGCCTTTGATAACTCCTTTTCCCAACCATCTCTAATTTTTTAGAGTCCTTAGGAAGCATGTTTCAGCAAGGTGCTGGCTGCTGGCAGAAAGCTCAGAAATGCCTGTCTCATTCTTCACATTACCTTCTGAGAAACAGTCACCAGAGAGCCTGTGAACACCCCATTCTCTATAGGGGATATATATATATATATATATAGGGGATTTATATATATACATATATCTCAGCTGTCTGGGGCTGAGTTTTATTTCCAAGTAAAGCAGTTTTCTTTGTTGCTTTCGTCCCTCATGAATCTCAGGAAGTTTTCAGTTACGTCACTAGCACTTCAAGAAAATGGGAGATTATTACTGTATAATTAGCACAGCCCCAGTCAAATCTTGCTGCTGTGCTCGGCATTGCACAAGCTTACTTTCTTGCAAAATCTTAGACCATAACTCTGAGACACAAGAATAGTCAGAAGACTATTTGAAAAATAAAAATGCTTGTTTTTGTACATCCCATGTTGCTGCTTACAGTTTGAAAACTGAATTCCGGGCACCAGTTAAGCAAGAAGCTTTAAGGATCCTCGTGTGAACCAGTGACTGTCACCAAAATGATCTGATCAAAGCGGAAGCACAGCAGATCCACTTGCCTTTCATATCTTTCCAGTGAATCTCACTGGAATCTCTTGCTTCTAATGTCTAGAATATATTTAGATTGTTTACATAGCTTCTTATTCTGAGACACCTTACATTGCCCACCATCACCAATTATCCTCTCTGCACGTCCTCTTGCAGTAAAGACTTCTCTTCATACCTCCTTGCAAATGCAGTTTCATTCATACAGATGCAAGCCCATCTCAGTAGCATCCCAAGCAACTTAAGGAATTAGGAGAGGTGCTGTAGTTTAAAATTGATTACATCATATTGGGATTGTGGCATGTAACTTAGTGGTAGCTTAGAAACTCTTGGAGTTACAGCAGCAAAATACTGGTTTTGAAGCTCTCAGAAGTGATCCATGTTGGTGTTATTTGAAGTAACTATTTCATTTAGAGTAGCCATTTGAGCTTTAATGGAAGAGAAAGTTGGTGATTCACATTCTTGAAGTCATAACTGATGGTAGAAACACGAAGACCTGCAGAAAAAAGGAAAAAAGACATATACTGTCCTCCCAGCTGAAGGATTCTCTTCACCATTGTTGCACAGTGAGGTTGTCCGAACAATGTTCTCTTTATTATCATTTCTGATAAATGAGCTCACTGCTCATCTTTCTGAGTGTAACTGATTCTTGATGGACATGGATATAAATTGGCACCCAAATGAGAGATCTAAGGTGGAAGCCCACCTGAAAGATCACATATTCTATCATAATGTGTGAATTACGATAACTTAGATAAGTCAGATTTTCCGAATAGTTCAAGCCAGATTTCCCAGCTATTTGCTGTCCAAACGAATACGAATACCACACGGTAGTTGTATCTCTTTCTAGTGTTGCTTTCAGCAGAAACTTATTTTCCAATTCATAACTCATATTTTTGCACCGTCGAAGAAGGTAGCAATAAAAATGGCAGCTTGGCACTAAAGATGACTCCAGATGTATTGTTATGTATCAGATTCTGTTTTGACTTCTACCAGGCTTCTGTTGCCCAATACAAAATCTTCTCCTCTTTTCTTTGTTAATATCTAATACTTCTCTCTTAATTAACATAACAGTACCTTATTTATGACAAGCAGTACTTCAGGATATTCCATGTGAATATTTGCTTGCTGTGCTGAGTTGAATCTGAGATGGCCTCTCCTGAAAGTGGAATCATATTTTGAAGGGATTGATTGATTCAAAGGAAATGAGGAATTAACTTTTCTCCAACATACAGAGTTTATTTCTTAGGAGCAGGTCTGAGAACTTAAAGCCCGTAAGATCACACATAAACACCC